CTGCCTTCAACTCACTATGTAGCCTGGGCTGGCCTCAAACTTCTGGCAATCTTCCTGCCTCAGCCTCCTGAGTGTTGGGATGACAGGTATGTGCCCCACGTCTGGCAGAACTGAGCACTTAAAGTCCCCTGCAGAGGAGCCCATGCAGGGCTGGCCTTGGGTATTGTTCTGCTTCCTGCCACCCTGGGGTTTCCAGAGCCTCCTGGGCCCGACACTGACTAGCAGGAAGGGGCAGTGCGTGGAGCTGGGCCTCGGTGGGCCCTACCTGGCATGGGGGCAGAGCGTCAGGCAGGTGGGAATGTACGGGGTGCAGGGGTGTCAGGGCAGCACTGGACACTTTGTGCTGTTACTGTTTTTGCCCAAAGCTGTTAGCATGCATTCGAGAGCCACTCGGTGTGCGCACAGATTGTACCGGGAACAGGGGAGGGAGGCACGGAGCGGCAGGGGGCGGGGAGCCTGTCCCTTTAAATCTGTTTTCTGGCTTTATTTCCTTCTCCTCTCCCATCCTCCGCGCTCCCTGCTCCCTCCGCCCTCCGCCCAGCACCCAGCACCAGTGGCAGAGCTGAGAGGGCCGGGCTGCGCTGCAGTGCGGTGCCTCTGAAATATTAATGAGGCTGCTCTCGGCCTGACTCCTTCCCTCCCCCTCCCTGGCTGCATGCAGGCCTCGTCCTTGGAACCCTTCTGTCCCCTCCTAGGTGGTCACCAAGGTGCATCAAGCAGGGGTGGGCAACAGGGAAAGGGTCTTGTATGGCAGAGGGGGGATGTGAGAGAGCAAGGGTTACAGCAGGTCTCCTGAGGGGAGCACAGGAAAGGACACCGCTCCCCCCACCTGGCATCCCTCCCTCCTGCCTTCTCAGGCCCCTGCCTCCTGACTGGTCTCCAGCCGTGCCCAGCATTCAGGTGCGCGCTGGGCCACCGACGGTATCCAGCTGTGACTGCAGCAGTTGGCGTGCCCTTCCCTCTGTTCCACTGGGCCCACAATTTCCAGGGATGCCCAGGGCAAGCCTTGCCCGGCAGGCCGCTAGTGCGAGGACGATGGACACCAGGAGGTGGAGAGCATGTGCCCTCATCTGTCACTGGGCACCCAGGCTCGCCTTCCACATGGCCCCTGGGCTGTGGTGGCCTGGATGCCACATCCAGATAGAGACAGGGGATGTTCTCATTCCTAAGGGTCCAGTGACCCTGGAGCAACTTGGGACAGGACTTCCTGGCTTCTTGCTCCTGCTGGCAGCCACTCTGTCCACCCCCAGGAGGCAGCAGCACTTGGTAACAAATGTCCCATCATCAGCGTGGGGACACATGCCCATACGAACTTGGTGGACACCAGGCGGGGGAGGGGGGGGCAGGGCCGTTTCCAGACTTGAGGACGGGGTGAGTTCTGATGGGTTCTCGAGTGCCAATGTGAGGGCCAGTGGTAGCCTTTCCCCCAATTCATTGTCCCTGAGAAGGTGAGGCTGTGTCACCACATACATAGCAGGTGGCCAAGGCCTGCCAGAGAAGCTACTTGGGGAATTGCCAAGGGTGTCCCAGTTTGGGTGGCTGTGACTCACGTCAGGCCACCTGGAAGGCTGGCCAGGAGGCCTAGGCCAAACAGGAGCTGGGTGTCTGGTGTCTCCAGCCCTGCCTGGGCCTGCATTTCCCAGGAGGAAGTAAGTGTCTGCGAGGCGCAGGGAGGGATGAGACACAGGTGTCGGTGTCTGCAGATGCTGACGGCTGGAAGCTTGGTGTCAGGAGTGGGGTCTCGAGAGGAGAACCTGGGGATGGAGGCGCCCCTCGCTCAGGAACTCCAAAGCTCCCTGGAGGGTGGTGGGCATGCCCAGAAGCCCATCAGGATGGCCAGAGAGGGAGAGAGAGACCGTCACAGAAGGACGGGCTCTGTCTCTGGCCAAGTGACCACAGCACACTAGAGGAAGAGTCGAGGAGGCATTTGGATGCCAGGGCCAGCCAGATGTAGGCAGGGTCCCTCAACAGCCCCTCTGTCCCTGAGGTAGCAACCTGTTGACAGGCACCCAGCAAGGGCATCTCTGCTGTCACCCCGCCTACTGTGCTGGTCAATCTGTGCCAGTCCACAGTGCATGCTGGAAGGTCCAGGTGCCCCCCTGTGGAAGTTCTAAACTCAATTAGGCCAATTAAAGTCTGCAAGATGAAAGAGCGCAGAGACGGTCCTGTCCCTGCCCTCTTGGTGCCCACAGGCTGTTCTCGGCAAGCAGCCCGGGCCGGAAATTCTTGTCAGGCCTGCGGAACCCCTAGGTCTGGTGGCTTCTGTTCTCCACTTCAGCGACGGCTGCCATCCTGGTTCAGACCAAGGCAGGCCACGGGCCAGGTGTGGGGACAACTTGGGGGGAGGGGACAAAGCCCGGGCCACTCACTCTCTGCAGCAGTTCCCACCTTCACCCATGGCTCTGGTCTGCCCTGCAGTCTGAGTTCACAAAGCCAGTGCCCGCCCCAGCCCGCCATGTGCCCCACTGTCCGGACAAGGGTCCTCCACCTTCCCGAGTGCTGCGTTCCTCTTAGAGGGGCTGAGTGCATGGGGGCTTCCTGCCAGCTCCATAACCGTGCATCCCAAAGAGCCAAGCCCAGTGAGTGGGACAGACACGGCCCCCAGGACCATGCCACCGAGTCGAGCGAGATGGGAGTGGGCCAGCAGCTATCGATCGTGGCGAGTGAAGAAACCACCAGGCTCTCCTGGGGACATCTCTCTGGGACTGTGAGTAGGAGTTCACTGGAGGTCAGCAGGTAGTGACCAGAGGAGGCCGTGCAGCCAGGGCCCCAAGCCATGTGGCCCAGCAGAGTGGCGGTGGCCTTCCGACACAGCCAGGAGAAGCATCTAGTTCATCAACTGGGGGACTGCAACGGGGGTATGGCAGGGCCCGGAGGGGACTCTGTGTCTCTGGTGATGGTGCCTGAAGCGGGGAGCTGGTGACTCAGAGCAGCATGGTGGCGGGTCACCTGAGGGACACTGTCCCTCTAGCTGCAGGGAGCGGACACAGCCTGGCTTGCCTGCCCAGTGTCCTGAGCATGAATCACCGTGGGTCCGCTCAGCCACGGCGCTGCCAGCGCGGCGGCTGGGAACAGCTCGACGAGGAGCGGCTCTGTATGGGCATGGAGCTGGCTCCACAGAGGTGGGAGGGTTGCAGCCCCAGGCATCTCTGGTGGGTCCAGGCTGTCCCCAGCCAGGCCCAGGCTCCCCCACACCTTTGTTTAAAGGAGGACAGTTGGGGGAGGCGGAGCAGATGAAGTGCTCCAAAGGAACAGACTGTCCCCTCAAGCTTCCCCTGTGGAAGGAGCCCATGGGAAGTCCCTTAGGCAGCTTACTTGGGGACACACAAGTCCCCACTTGGTGCCCAGGGGCTGTGCGCAGAGTAGGGGGGAACATCAGAGCCTTGGGCCCAGAACCTGCTAGCAGGAAGGAGAGCTTGTGTGAGCCAAAGCCAGCCCCCGCGCTGCCACACTGGACCCATGCACCCTCAGGCAGTCAGCAGGGGCAGGGTGGCAGGGGTGGGGACAGAGCCCACACCTGATGGTGGCACCCAGGTCCTGGGGCTCAGGCTGGAGGTCTGGAGAGAGCCAAGGACAGCATTGGTAGCATCTACAGCAGAGTCCCAGCGGGTGGCCAAGGCCTCGGGGGCCATCGCACGGGCAGTATTGGCAGAGAAGCAGACCCAGCTTCTCCTGGCTCCACCATTTGCTCCGGTCAGCCTGAGTTCCCCATGCTGGAGAGAAGCACAGGGATTTGTGTAGCACGTGGGTGGCCAGAGTGCACTGGGTGGCACCCGTGGCTTCAGGCTGCCAGTGAAGCCCGCATCCTTTGCCTCAGTTCACCGCTTGGCCTCCTTCAGACCTCATGGCTCTTGGTCCTTGACCCTGACCTTGTTTCTGTCACAGAGAGGGAATTAGTGTAGTCTTGTTCACCCTCTGTGCCCAGCAGATCAGGCCAGTGAGTATTGTGAGATAACCAGCCAGAAGAAAGGGCTGGAGAGGGCTGGGAGAGAGTGGCTCAGTCCTGTGTCCACCATTTGGTTTCACCATTTTCCAAAAGCAAAGGCCACTACAGGTGGGGTTTCCAGAAAGTTAACACTTAGACACTCCAGATCTTAAAATGGGGGTCACTTGGGGTGGACATTTTCTAAACTACCTTCTGTGTCCCTCCAGACCTCATGGGCAAGTCACCAGGGAACTTGCTTTTGTGTGCCATAGGCATGTATGCCTTTCCTTGACACCAGAGGTCTAAGGCTGGGACATGTTTCCGAATGACCCTTGGTTTCCCAGAGACTGGTTCCCTCCTGAGGGCTGTGCTGCTCCCAACTCCCACATTCTGGGCTCAAGTGAAAGCAAGTGCCATGCATTTGGCCAGCACGTTTGGGCCGTCCAGGCGTCTCTGTGCTCTCCTCGGGGCTCTGGGACTCCGTGTCTGCATGGGTGCTCCTCGGTCTGAAATCCTGACGGATGACTGAGTTCTACTTCCAAGAGGGCTGTTCTGAGCCAGGTGCTCCCGAGAAGGCCCAGCTGAGCCGTGGTGCCCAGAGGTTGAGTTCTGGGAGCACTCGGGGCCACTCCCACAAGGAGCAGACAGGAGGGAGATGCGAAAGGCAGGGCTGCAGAGGCTGTAGTCCTGCCGGCCGGCCGGCCGGCCGGAGAAGCGGCACCCCAGGGCTTCCCCATCAGACCCAGTAACTCCTGGGGTGGGGCCAAGGACACTGGACACTGGCGGGGGGCGGGGGGGGAGGGCTGCAGCTGGTGATTCTCTGCAAAAGGGGAAGGCCATGCAGCCTAGCAGCCTTAGCTCCTACGCTGTCATCAGGAGGAAAGAGGGTGTGGAAGGCGTGGGTGGTGCCGTGCTGAGGGGTACAGAGTATCGGCAGTCACCGGTGACCTGTGGCTGCTCGTGGCTTTGCCCCACGTGCCCTCTCCTGGTCTCTCCCCCTTGCACCTCCCTTTATCTCCTTTCTCCTCCCTCTCTCCCTCCTCGGCCTCCTCCTTTCCTGTTCCCTGACTCCCAGGTGCGCAGGGTGTTTCTGAGACCTGACCCGGAGCCCTGTCCATGGCTCGAGCTGCTACCCGAAGTCTGCCGCAGCCCTAGGCCTAAAGCTGTGTGGCACCAAGGTGGTGCCAGCAGAACACCGCGGATTGGGAGCATGCCAGCAGCACAGGGCACGCTTTAATCTGGTAAGAGCTGGGAGCAGGTGGGAGGGCCAGGACCGCCTGCCCACGAAGGTGACATTGGCCTTTGCCAACCCAGCCAGGTCCCCAGATGGATGGGGGTAGTGGCAGGAGGGTCCCCCCGAAGGCACTGAAGCCTGGGCAAGCCCACCTGACTTGGGGTGCTCTTGGAGGGTGAGACGGACTGGCCCAAGCTGGGAGGTGAACTCTCCCCTGACCAGCCATGGCTCACATGCACTGTGTTCTGGAATACGGGACTATTAGTTCTGTGTCAACCACTCTCCACTTCTGCTCCATCTCCCCAGGTGTCCACACTTAGCCACCGTGCTCCACCCCTGCGCCTCACGGGGCACCAGGACTGCAGGTGGCCGGCCACCTGTCCCTCGCTGCAACAGAGGCGAGACTGCACCTGCTCCAAGGACTGACAGGCAGGATGGGAGACATGGCCAATAGCTCCATCGAGTTCCACCCGAAACCGCAGCAGCAGCAGCAGCAGCAGCAGCAGCGGGAGGCCCCCCAGGCGGGTGGCTTTGGGTGCACGCTGGCAGAGCTGCGCGCCCTCATGGAGCTCCGTGGGGCTGAGGCACTACAGAAGATCCAGGAGGCCTACGGGGACGTCAGCGGGCTCTGCCGGAGGCTGAAGACTTCACCCACCGAGGGTAGGTTCGGCGGGGTGCTTCCTAGAGGCCCCCTAACCACACCTCTGCTCAGCCTCTTGCCCTCACATTTGAGGTGCTGTGCTGGGGGTGGCATTGTCTCCTTGGTAACAGAGTCCTGGGGAGCCTGACCCCTCCTCTGTACCTCTACCCTTGGAGCTGAGGGGAGAAGGGGACATGAGGATCCCAAATGAACCCCCAAGCAGCTTCCTGTTGGTGGAGGAGTGAAACGTGGCCCCCCATATCCTCATCGCAAGGTGCAGCCAAGAGGGACCCCTAGAGGAAGAAGGGGTGCGGGGCGCGAGTCCTTTGGGGCACAGGAGGCCCAGAGTGCCCACTGGACATGGCAGCACTCACAGCTGTCCCAACAGTGTCATCGCCCCAGCCAGCCTCCAGGAGCTTCATGGCCACCCTCTAGAAGGATTGGGGTGGGGACCCTCGAAGCCAGAGAACCCTCTGAGGCGGGGACCACCCTAGGACCAGAGCCAGGCCCAGACTCTAGGAGCTGGAGCCCTTGCTGGCCCAGCTGGCATTGGCCTGGCAGGGTTGCCTGGGCTACCCCAGCCCCATGCCAGGCTCACTGCCGGCCAGTGCTGATTGATGTCATCAGCTGCCCGTCTCAGTGGCGGCACCTTGGCCCACCCAGTGCTGCTGTCCCTGGCTGTCACCCTGCACTGCTCCTGCACCCTGGCATCCCATGCCGTCCATCACCAAGCCCTGCCTATTTGGGTTTCTAAATCTGTCCCTCGGATGTTTCAGCCCCTGCTCGCTTCCTCTGCCTGGGCTGGGTGTGGCCATCCCCTGCAGCCTGCGTGCTCTCCGCCCATGCGCACTGGGGTTTTGAGGTACAGTCAGGAGCCCCTTGCTCTGGCCTCGCCCCACCTGGGCTTCAGAAAGAAGGAGTCGAGGCTGGCAGAGGAAGCCAGAATTCTGGGACCAGCAGTCTCCCCGGCTGGCTGCCTGGGTGTCCCTGTGCCGTGAGGTGGGCTGGCCATGCCCACAGACTCCTGTCCTGCCTGCCCTGCTGCACACCAGCCTGGGGCAGTATGCCTTCAGGGCAGATGGCTCGGCCCTGCGCCAGAGGCTCTTACTCCTCCTACTCCTTGCCCCCCGCCCCAGGCCTGAGGCCTCCGAGGAGGCCAGGGTGGAGGGCCATTTAGCCACAAGGGCTCTGGCCTCTCTCACATCAAAGGAAGCAGATGGGCTTCAGCTGGCGGCTCTTCCCTCGGCCTGTCAGGCCTTGTTAAATATTTAAAATGTCAAGGCCCCTGGGATCCTGCCGATTCAGCCGCAGAGCTCAGGAACATGCCTGGTGCCCAGAGAGGGGGCGGGCACAGAGAAGGGCAGGTGCCTGGGTAGGTGGCCCAGCCCCTGGTTGCCTTCTGAGCACCTGGGTCCCTAGGAGGGGACCAGTAAGGCCTGAGGAGCAGCCCCTCCTCTTGAGCTCCTCGGCTTGAGCTGTCTGGTGCCAGGAGCCATGAGGAGCACTCCCCGGAGTCCCCTCAGCTGGCCGCATGGCCCTCGGTAGGCCTGCTGGCTCAGCCACCAAGCCCTCCCACTTGGTCTTGCTTAGATACAGTGGCTGAGCTGTAGGAGGGCCGGCTTAGCTGCCCCCCCCCAGGCCCTATGCCAAAGCCTTGGCAAGGTAGGCACACCCAGGGGTGCCCAGGAGGGGCTTGGGGACAGCGGAGAGGTCGGGGAGGTGTGTGCACTGGGAGAAGGGCTCTGCCTTCCGATCATGGCCTGTCCCCCACTGTCCCCTCCACCTCTGACGAGACCCCAGCAGCTTCCGGAGCACATCTGAAGGTAGCCGCTCAGCTAGTCAGGAAGCTCAGTGAGAGGTTTGGCAGGGGGGACGACACTTGGGTCCTATGCCCCCCCCCACCCCGTCTGTGCTCCACAGGAACCCTGGGAAGGAGGGCAGATTAGCTAAGAGCCAACACGATGTGGTCCTAATCCAATTCCAATGGCATCTGGCCTGTGCTCCGGGCAGGCAGCCCATCTGTGTCCATGCCAACTGGCCAGCCCTGCCCCCGTGCCCTGGCCCCAGGCCGCTCTAGAGCCTGCTGGGCAGGCCTGTGCTCAGGAGTGGAGGGGCGCCCCTCCCCCACAGTGGGTACAGAGTGGTGGCGGCAGCTGGCAGGACCCCCACACCCACAGGAAGGCCGAGGCCATAAGGCCGATGATAGGGAGAAGCATTGCTACAGTAGCGAGGGCAAATCAGGCCGAGGACAGGGCAGGTGCCCGGGTGGGGAGGGAGCTCCCGAGGGAGAAGACCAAAGGGCACACAGTAGAGCAGGCAAGAACAGATTCACGCGGTGCCACGGGCACCCACGGGCTCTCTAGAAGTGACGATGGGCTTTTGTTCTTCCCCGGGGGCCCTGGGCTGGGTGCCCGGGGACACAGGCCTCTGGGGCCTCCCCATTCTCATGGCTCCCAGAGCGGAAGGAGAGAAGCTGGGTCTCTTGAACTGGGTCCCTGGTCCGCAGCCCCTCCCCTGCCACCCAGGAGCTGTGACTGGAGTTCCTCTCCATGCAGCTCCTGCAGAAATCTGAGCCGCCGGCCAGGCAGGGCAAAATGAGGCCAGAAGGGGCAGGGAGGCACAGCTGCGGCCCCTCTGGGTGAGGAGAACACCATATGGCTGCCACTTAGCTTAGGGCAGACACTATGAGGCTACAGTCCTTCCACCTTGGCCGGACCTCACCCTGGTTCTCTCCAGGGGCCCCCGTCAGCACCCCCTTGTTCTCCAGGCCTCTCTGCTCGCCCCTGCAGCAGGTGGCAGGAGCAACGCCAGCTGGCGACTCAAGGCCGTCCATCCGCCAGGTATCAGTGCGGCTGGGCGCTGCGGACGGGCCACAGCCCGGGAGGCAGAGCATGAGGAGGGGTGGGAATCCCCGCCACCCCGCTCACCCCTGGGGAAGGTAGCTAAGCATGCACACAGGCTCAGAGCCCCATGGGAGCTTGCTTGGGCCATGGGCACAGTCCCTCAGCTTTCTGACACCCATCTGGTATCTCAGCCTGCTTGGGATCAAGGGGTCTCCCCTGGAGCTCTTGATTTTTCCTTCTTCACCCTCCTTGTCCCCTGGCTTGCATCCTAGGGACAGTGGGCCATTGGCATGAGCCACAAGAACTCTCACTAACCCCAGCCTCTCCAGCACTCATCCTCAGCTGAGGGGGTGAGGCCACAGAACTTGGCAGTCATCATGTACATACATGGCCCCATGGGGTCACCCTGTCCTACCCTTCACGGTGCCCCCACTCAGGCTGGAGGATGGTACTGGTGTGGGCTCTGGGTGAGGCGCTAGGAACGAGGCAGCTGTCACCCACACACCTGGGGTCACTGCGGACACTGGAGCCTCACCTGACAGCCCAGAGCTCAGTTCCCGGCACTCGGGCTTTGCTTCTCCCCAGCCAGCTTGGTCCCCCACCTCCTCTTCTGGGTCCCCTCTAGTGGTCCCCCTGGTTTGTGTCTTTGTACTCCTGGATGTCATGCTCCCTCTCTCTACTCCTCTGAAAAACTTCTGGAAAGTGAACCTCTATCTTTGACTCCAGGGGCCACCCCTCTGTCCTCAGCAGCTGTGCTTTCAAAGGGTCCTGGGCCCCCTAGGCCCCGCCTCTGTGCAGGTCAAGCTGTGCCACCCTACAAACCTTGAGGAGCAGGCCATGGAGGCCAGGATGTGGCCCAGTCTGATGGCGTTTCCGATACACAGCCCCAGCCGGCACTGGGCTGGTCATTGCACGGGGCTTTGCGAAGACGGAGTCCCAGTGTGTAGAGCTGGAGAGATCTTCCCAGGCCGGAAGGGTCACCCTTCAGAGAGGGAAACCAGGCGGTTCTCACCCTTGCCCCTTTGACTGATGACTCCTGGAGCCTCTGGCTGTGGTCTTCTGCCCCTGCCCCGCCCCTGTCCGGTCTCCTCGGCAGGCACTGTCACTTCCTGCAAGTCCCCTTCAGTGACAGTTGGAAGGCAGGACAAGGCAGTTCAAGAATCAACTGGGAATGGATGAAGGAGGCACATGGCCTGGGTGGGGGGGTCCCAGAGATTGGGACGACTGTGGCCCCAAGGCTGCCTGGGTACCATGAGGAAGCTGGCAGCCCCGCTTCCCGGGCTGGAACTGCCTGCCACAGCCACAGAGGGCCATATGCTCACTCCCATGTGGGTCTGCAGAAAGGTCACTGTCCTTGGCCCAGGCAGCCATGCCCTGTTCCAGGGCACCATCTAGAGAGTTCCTCACGGTGCCCAGGGCTCAGGCTGACCTGTCCCAACCTATCCCTCTGTGCTTCTGCCACCCTGTGGGGCACCATGCAGGCCTGGCGGACAACACCAATGACTTGGAGAAGCGCAGGCAGATCTACGGGCAGAACTTCATCCCCCCCAAGCAACCCAAGACCTTCCTGCAGCTGGTGTGGGAGGCCCTGCAGGACGTGACCCTCATCATCCTGGAGGTGGCTGCCATCGTGTCCCTGGGCCTCTCTTTCTATGCACCGCCTGGAGAGGAGAGTGAAGGTGTGGCCCAGGGGTCTGGGCAGGAAGGAGAGGAGGGTGGCTTCCAGATGGCCCTGCCCAGGCTGGCCTGACTATGTTTCTGCCTCTGCTCTATCCTTGGGTGCAGCCTGTGGGAATGTGTCCGGTGGGGCAGAAGACGAGGGTGAAGCGGAGGCCGGCTGGATCGAGGGGGCTGCCATCTTGCTGTCCGTCATCTGTGTGGTGCTGGTTACAGCCTTCAACGACTGGAGCAAGGAGAAGCAGTTTCGAGGTTTGCAGAGCCGCATTGAGCAGGAGCAGAAGTTCACAGTCATCCGGAATGGGCAGCTCCTCCAGGTTCCCGTAGCCGCACTGGTGGTAGGGGATATCGCCCAGGTCAAGTATGGTGAGTGTAGCAGTCTTCACCCACTCCTCCAAGAAGTCTGGCTTCCCTTTCCAGGAAGAGAGGGCCAGACAAGAGGCAACGGCTAGGCTGTCTTCTCTGGAGCACCTGTGCCATCACCTGCAGGGGGCTGGAGACAAGGGACATCACGGGTGTGAGGCTGGGGGAAGGCAGAGTTTGAGACACAATAGTGGCCCCAGGAATCAGGCTGTCCCTGTGGCCTCTGCAGAGGTCTTCGTCACTGCTGCAGGATGCAAATGTCCCTGCTCCCTGGTTAGGTGTGGGTGGTTCTCCCTCTGTCTTAGTCACTTTCCACAGCTGGGACAAAATACTTAACACCCACAGTTTAAAGGAAGAGAAGCTTATTTTGGCTCTTAGTGTTTAGAGGACTCAGTCCATGGTTGGTTGGCTCCAAGGCGTCACAGAGGAAAGAAGCTCACCCTGTAGCAGCAGGAAGCAGAAAGGTGAGGAGCCAGGAGCAAGAGTATGCCGTCCAGGTCCCGCCTCCCACCAGTATATTCAGCTGCTGAACTCAGCAGTGGATTAATCCATTGATAAGTATAGTACCCCCATGATCCAATTGCATTCTAAAAGCCTCCTCTGAATACATGAGACTTTTGGTGGACATTAGTTCTAAACCATAACATGCTTCCCTTGGCCCCCAAAAGATTCATGTCCATTTCACTATGTGAAATACATTTAGCCCATCTCTAAGAGTTGCCAAAATCTTGACAATTCCAGCACTGCTCACAAGTTCAAGTCCAAAGTTTCCTCTAAGACCCAATGCGAACTCATCTATGAACCCCTGCAGAAATCAAAAAGAAAGTTAAGTGCTTTCTTTGGAATGGATAAAACTTCCCATTCCAAAAGGGAGAAATAGGGAGATAGAAAGGAATGGGACTAAAGCAAGACCAAAACCCAGAAGGGCAAACATGAAGTCCAGGAGCCCCATGTCTAGCACCAGGACAAGGGGTGCTAAGATGTGAACTCCCGAGGGCTTGACCGGCCTCACTCCTATGGCCTTGCTGGGTACAGCCCATATGGCCTTTCCTGGGCTGGCTGCACTCACTGCCTATGGCTTTCTTGAGGAGAAATTCCACATTCCTGGAATCTTCAGTTTCCTGGACTCTCCACTGTACTTTCGGCTTTACTCTCACAGTTTGACTCACTTCCCTCTCAGGGGCATACTGCCTGGCTGTCCAGGCCTTTCAAAATCTGAGAGGATCTCTTCATGATCTCGCAACTCTTGCATTGTGCATGCCAGTAAAACCAGAATCACATCAACAACATCAAGGTCTACTACTAGCATGGGCAGTAGCCAAACCCCCTTAGACCACAGCAGCAGAGGTCTCTGAGTGCCTGAATGGCTCAGCACTGTGAAAGGAATCCCACAGAACCAATTCCTTAGGTGGTCCTTCTCAAAGGGCTCATAGGCTGTCTTCTTAAAGGTTCACACTTCTGCATCTTTGAGTGTGTGAAGAGTGGAGGTGAGCCAATTTCTGAGATGCCTTCTGGTCTCCTTTCCTATTGTCCTGATACAAAGTACTTGGGTTCTTTTTAATGCTACTTTTTTCAGCAACCACATATTTCCTGGCTCTTAACTTTACAGGTACTTCCTTTCTGGCCAGGCTGCAAGTTTTCCCAAATCATTTAACTCTGCTTTTTGCTTCAGATTTTCACTGCAAATCAGGCTAAAAGCAGCCAGCAGTACCTATGCTGTAGCCTAAACATTGAGCTGTCTTCAAATTGCCTCCACCAGATCAATTAGTTTACCACCTTTATGTTCAGCATCACACAAAGTCTTAGGACATGGACACAATGTAGACAAATTATTTGCCAGAATGAAACACACATGGTCTGTAGTCCAGTTTTTTCTAATAGTCTTCATTCCCATCTGAAAACTTCTGAGCTTGGCCTTCATGATTCATTTTCCTACCAGCATTCTGGTTTTCTGAGCTCTTGACCAGAATCTTCCATTAATAGCTGCTTACAGCAATTTAGGTCTTCTCTGGTCCATATCTCCAAATTCCTCCCACAGACAAGTTCATTCCAAAGGCTTTCTTAAAACCCTATGATCAGGTACAGCCACAGCCATGACCCCACTCCTGGTACCAAAATTTGTGTTAGTTACTTTCCTGTTACTGGGACAGAGTACTTAAAAGCCACAACTCAAAGGAGGAGAGGTTTATTTTGGCTCCAGTTTTTAGACAACTCAGTCCATGGTTGATTGGCTTCAAGGCAGAAGTCACATGGTGGAGAAGCATAATACAGAAAAGTCTGAGCCCATGGCAGCCAGGAAGTAAAGAAAGAAGGGAAGCGCTCAGGATAAGAATATACTTTTCCAAGTCACTCAGCTAATGACCCACCTCTTCTGACCAGGCCATACTCCCTAACAACACATTTACCTACTGAACTCATGCATGCTTTAATCCACTGATGAATGTAGCAACCACATGACCTATCACCTTCCCAAAGCTGAACCTCAGAAGACATGAGCCTTTTGGGGGACATTTTAGACCTAAACCATGACATCCTCCCAAAGGAGGATACTGATGGAAGAGGGCTCTCAAGTGCCTTTCCCAGGTGATCCCAGGGACTTCCCTTGGGGTAGCTTGGAGGAGGCAGTGGGAAGAAAAGCCTGGAGACCCACAGTGTTTGGCTCCTGTTCTGTGCCGACCTTTAGGAGACTTGCTGCCTGCTGATGGTGTGCTCATCCAGGGTAATGACCTCAAGATCGACGAGAGTTCCCTGACAGGCGAGTCAGACCACGTGCGCAAGTCAGCTGACAAAGACCCCATGCTGCTGTCAGGTGAGGGCTGCCTTCGCAACCGCCCAGCACAGAGCCAACTTGGAAGTCATTTGGCCCAAATACCTTCCAGGCTCACCTGACTGATGGCCTCCTCGAGTAGCCCTTCCTGCTGGGGAGCCATGGCAAGGCCACTGGGGGGCGGGGTGCTGATAGTGGCAGCTGCAGCCACAGGGTAAGGAAGTAGATGCTGCCAGCTTAGCAGGGCCTCTGAGTCCAGAATAGGAAGCCCCAAGTAGGGGAGAGCTTGCTGGGGTACAGCATAGTGTCCTGCCAAATCCAGACCCTGGAGAAGACCCAGTGGACACAATGCTCGTTTTCCTGAAGGTTATGACTTAACCCAATAGGAAATGTCACCCCTGGAGGACCCTATGAATGACTCACCACCTGGCCCTCTGTGGGCCTCTGGGTCCCTGCTAAGCCAGGAAGCAGGCTACAGCGTAGCCTGAAGGCCAGCACAGTCCTGGTGACTTCTGGGTGCTGAGTCCCTGCCTCCGGGATTCCTTGAGAGCGGACCTGCAGGCACCTGAGCATGTCGGCCACTGGGTGGTGCAAATCTCTGTCTCCATCTCTGTTGCTGTGCCAGGCACTCATGTCATGGAAGGTTCAGGAAGAATGGTGGTGACGGCTGTTGGTGTGAACTCCCAGACAGGCATCATCTTCACCTTGCTGGGAGCTGGCGGAGAGGAGGAGGAAAAAAAGGATAAGAAAGGTAAGGCGGCACCAACTTCTGGTTTCCAGTGCTGATGGCAGCCCTCCAGCCAGGGCACCTGCGTTTTCTTCTTGTCTGCCTACAGCGGGTCCCCTCCTGGGGAGAGCCGGCCCTCAGAGCCTCCCTGCCCTCCCAGGTCCCAGCCCCACAGGCCCAGCCTGACTACTTCTATGACTCCGACCCACACCTGCATGCCACTTCTCTGGCTCTGGCCTCTCCTGCAGCCCAAACTGAGAAGGGAGCAGAGATTTCTAGGCTTGTGCCTCCCACCCAGGAGATTCTGCACATGCGCTAGAACTCTGCTTCCTGCCAGAGACCTCCAGCAGGGCCCTGGGACCAGGGAGCTAGCAAGAGGACAGTCAGTCTCAGGCTGCAGACGGCCTGGGCCTGCCTGCCCCAAGCCCCACAGGGACAGGCTGGCATAAGGAAGGACACTCTAGCAGCCCCAGCCTCCCTCCCCCCCTCCCAGCTCCCAGCTCCATGGGCTGCTGTGGGCCTCATCCCCTGGCAGCCTGCATCTCCCTCCATGGGCACTGCCCTGCTCCCGGAGACCAGGCCCACTGCGACCACTTGTTTACTGCACCGAGTCCCTATCTCCATGTGCCTCAGCCCAGGGTCCTTCCTCAGTGGGCACCTGGGTACACAGGCGGCTAGGTGGGCCATAGACATGGTCCAGGCCAGCCTGCACTGGGCTAGAGTCCCCAGACCTTTCTCCAGGAACAATAGCTGGCCCTGTCTGGTGGCCTCTTGGTCACAGCCAGTGGCAGGGAACCCCTTCCATAGAGGGCCTCCTCCCCACCTCCACACCAGAGGCTCCACCTCTTTTAGACTGCTGGAGCCTCCAGTCCTGGTGCCCCCTAGTCCCTTTGCAGGCTCCTGGCCTCCTACTCTGTCCCTGCACTGTTGGTGCCTCTCACAACTTGGTCCTAGGCCCCTCCTCTTTCAACTTGACCCCCACCTCACCCCTCTCTGGCACCCTCAGACTGTGCAATTTAGGGCCCGGAGGAGGCTGGCTTCTAAGAGGAGAGTTCGATGCACCCAGAATTTCTCCTTCCGCCACCCTAGCCCTGCCCCCTGGGTGGTCCTGCCACCTGCCACCTCTTCTCTCTGGCTATCCCTCTTGACTACAGCTCTATTCAACCTTTCCCACAAGGTGCCTGCCTCTCTCAGCGCTGTCCCCGCTCCAGGCCACCTCTCCTTACAGCACCCACTCACCCCAGGCCTCCTCCCTCCTTGAAGGCCTCTCCCAGCCCTGTCTGCGTGCCACTCTGTGGCCTGTCTGGCCACACCCTCTGTCGTGCTGTTCTGTCACCCGTGCTGCTATCCTATGTCTATGGGTGTCTCCTGTGCTCCCCAGTCTCCTTTCCCTGGGAACCGCCCCTCTAGCCTGCACAGGTGCCTTGGGCAGAAAGGACCCAAACCACATTCCACCTTCAGCTGAGATGGGGTTCTGCTTCCTTCTTGGGAACCCCAGAGCCCAACCCCACTGCCTAAGAGCTGCTTGGCTCCCTGTCTGTCCTTGGATCGATCCCCAGTGTTAATGAGCTGTTGAGTAGGAACCAGCAGGCCAAGCCACAAGACCCCCTTGCCCAAATTAGAGCCAGGGAGATGTGGTCCAGCACAGCTCTTCTAACAGCCACCTGCTGTGCCCAGACAGGTCCCCTGGGACCAGCCTGACCTGCTCAGGGGGCCTTCCTGTATGGTTGCCCTGGGTACACACGCAAGCCCCATTGTGAGCTGCCTTGGAGGTGCCTGGCAAGTGCCCGAGACCCAACAGAGTGCTGCACGTGCACACCCAGAGCTCACTGCCAGCCGGGGACCTGGGCACAAAATCTCATGGGCTACACTGGAGGGGGTGGGCAGCTCTGCCCCAGCCCTGTGTGGCCTGGGCTCCATTAGGGCTGGCGTTACGGGTTCAAAAAGCCCTGGCCAGTGGTTTTGCTCAGGACACCCAGAGAATGTCTGATGGCCACATGGAGGGAGGTGGTGACAGCCCCATCCCACATCCCGCACTGCACTGTGCGTGCCCCAGCTCTGTCTGCTGTCCTGTGTGCATGTGTGTGTGTCCTGGCCACGTGGGTGTTCTCAAGTCTCCGTGTCTGTCATTCCTCTCCCACTGTAGGCAAGCAGCAGGATGGGGCGATGGACAGTAGCCAGACCAGAGGTAATGCAAGCCACCACTGGGCAGCCAGGAGTCTGGGGGAGGGGCTGGGAGGGCTGGGGGAGGGGCCACCCACAGCCAGCAGGAATGCACCTGGAGGCCAGGTGAGTGGTCCCATCCTTGCCAGAGGGTGGAGGGGACACTCTGAGTTTGCTCCAAGCTGCCCACCTGCAGCCACTGCCGGAAGCCCAGAGGGGCTGCCTAGGGGGTGGCCAGCTTGTCCTTGCAAAGAGTGAGCACCCTGTTCCATTTGGCCAAATGAGGAAACTGAGGCACAGACAGGGTGACTTGCCTGAAGCTCTGGGTCCTAGTCCTTTGGGTTTCCCAGGTGAGTGCGCTTTCAGCCGAGCCCATGGGCCAGGGTCACAGCCAACATCCAAGGGGCAGAGGCCTGGGTGCCTGGTGGGCGCTGGGAGACACAGGAAGAAGTGGCTGGGTGACGGGGGGTGGCCTGAAGAGAGATGTCAGGTTAAATCAGTGGTCGGCTCCTGGTGACAGGAATGCAGGGATATAGCACGGCCCTGGCCCTCAAGAAGGCCATGGGCAGAGGTGAATAGTTGTAAGCTCTACGGCCCAGACACCTGGGGACCCAGGGACTAGGACAGGGTCACCAAGCCAACTGCAGCTCATAGCAAAACTGAGGTTGACAGGGCATTTGGGACAGGAATAGCGCAAAGGCTGGAGCCCTGGGTTGAGGGGGTGCGTGGAGGTGGAGTACAAGGCTAGAGTGGCTCAGCTGGGCAGGGCGTGGCATGTCCCAGAGGGCTCTGGGAGGAAGAAGCTATAATGAGTGGCCCTGGGTTTCTGGGCAGGGAGGAAGGGTGCAAAGGTGACAGCCACAGTGCCAAGAGCACTTCGCACAGGGGTCCAGAGAGAAGCGGGAGAAAGGTAAGCTTGGGGACCCTGACTGCCACGCCAGGGGCGCCGCCTGCAGATGTGAATTCCCTGGGCAGTGTACCTGGAGGGAGCCCAAGGTGTGTGAGGCTGGGGCTTGGCAGGGCTGGGGGACTCGCCTGTACCCCACCAAAGGCAGCGAGGATGAGGCACCAGGGCCCCACCCAGGAGGAGAAAGGGAAGCTGAAAGAGGTGGCCGGGGACAGAAGGGCTACAGGAGGAGCGGGCCCAGGCAGGACCAGGCGGGTGGGAGGAGAGGAGCCAGGAGACGGCTCAGATGCCACCAGGGCAGAAGAGCCAGCCTCAGCTTCAGGAGCATTCTCCAGACCACAGGCCTCTGCTCCCAGGTACTGAGAGGTGGCGCATTCCGGGAATGGCCACCGCATCTGTGTGCCTAAGTTCCTTGTGTTGTGTCTGTCCTCTCTTCCTGTCCCACGAGGAGGGTGCTGCAGCAGCCCACCTCCCTTGGGACTTGGGCTTAAGCAGCCACACAGGGAAGGCCGGTTGAGCTTGGATTTAAGCGCACTCCCAGGGAACCCCGATTCCTCGGGGTGGTGCGGCATGACACCCTGCTGATAGTCCCCAGAACCCCTTCCCCTAGCTAGGCCCTAACCTTGCCCACCGGGCTCCTCTGTGTACAGCCAAGAAGCAGGATGGGGCAGTTGCCATGGAAATGCAGCCCCTGAAGAGTGCGGAGGGCGGGGAGATGGAGGAGCGGGAGAAGAAGAAAGCCAGCGTGCCCAAGAAAGAGAAGTCGGTCCTGCAGGGCAAGCTCACGAAACTGGCTGTGCAGATTGGGAAAGCAGGTAGGGACAGCTGGAGGAGGATAGCCAGGGGCCACTGAGCAGGCGCAGGGACACTGGCTCCGGGGATGGCGGCAGGGCTTGTGGAGCAGGGAGAGGCGATGCGGAAGGTCGCGTAGTCCCACACACGCACCCCAGGGCTTCTTCCCAGGGACTAGGGGCAACTCTGGGTGTCCTAGGGAAGGCCCCAGGCTAGCTCAAGCCAGCTGCAGGGCTGAAGTTACGGTGGCCCTGACCTCTGCTCCCCTCTCCTCCCTCCTTCTCCCTGCTGCACCGCCTCCGCCGTGGCTGGGCAGGACTGGTGATGTCGGCCATCACTGTCATCATCCTGGTCCTCTACTTTGTCATCGAGACCTTTGTTGTGGATGGCCGGGTGTGGCTGGCAGAGTGTACGCCAGTCTACGTGCAGTACTTTGTGAAGTTCTTCATCATCGGCGTCACTGTGCTGGTTGTGGCTGTCCCAGAAGGCCTGCCTCTTGCTGTCACCATCTCCTTGGCTTACTCTGTCAAGGTAATCACGAGGCTTACAGTTGGTTCCATCCCACAGTGTCAGACAAGGGAGTGGGATGTGGCTGGCGAGGGGCTGAAAGGCAAGCAACCCAGGGGCCATGTGTGACCCTGGGAGTATGGGAGAGCCAGGCTGGCGTGGGGAGCCACGTGCCAGCAGGTGAGCTGAGAGAGCGATCCCGGGACATCAGCGGCCTGGAGTCTGCCCGCTCCTTTGGTTTGGCTGCCACCCAGCCCAGTGCCAACCGAGGTCCCCAGTGAGCTGTCAGCGCCACTCACATGCCATATCTGTATTGACCATGTCTCGGTCCCCTTCCCCTGCTAAGCTAACAACCCAAGTGCCCCCCACCCCCTCTGTGTCCTTTGCAGAAAATGATGAAGGACAACAACCTGGTCCGCCACCTGGATGCCTGTGAGACCATGGGCAATGCCACAGCCATCTGCTCGGACAAGACGGGCACACTCACCACCAACCGCATGACTGTTGTCCAGTCCTACCTAGGAGACACCCACTACAAGGAGATTCCAGCCCCCAGCGCCCTGACTCCCAAGATTCTTGACCTCCTGGTCCATGCCATCTCCATCAACAGTGCCTACACCACCAAAATACTAGTGAGCAGGCGCAGGAGGGCAGGCTGGCAGGGCCACTGCAGGGCGAGGGCAGGGGCCGGGCTGGGGGCATGGCATGAGCATCTAAGGGGCTCGCAAGGCCCCCTTAGGAGTTTTGAGGGATTACAGGTGTAGCTCAGTGGTTAAGCGCTTGCTTAGCATGCACAACGCCCTGGGTTCTGTGTCCAGCACTACAAAGAACAAAACAAAACAAAAACAACAAAATCAGAACTTTGGAGCAGAACCTCTGGAGTTCTGGCCACCCCTCTTCCCATTCCTAGCATGAACAGGTGCACTGGCTGCTGGGCGGGCCTGGTGAATGACGGGAAATCGGCCCGCAAAGGCTCACTTTGCAGCTCGGGCAGGGCCCCTTCGGTTCACACTGGGCCTCCTGCTGTCCTGCCAGTGTGGTAGGCACAGCTGGGCAGGAGCCAGGGGGCCTGGGACAGCACGGGGGTGCTTGAAGCCCCCACGCCATGCTGGCTCTCCTCGCCCTGCAGCCTCCAGAGAAGGAAGGCGCCCTCCCACGTCAAGTGGGGAATAAGACTGAGTGCGCTCTACTGGGCTTTGTGCTGGACCTGAAGCGGGACTTCCAGCCCGTGCGGGAGCAGATCCCAGAAGATAAGCTTTACAAAGTGTACACCTTCAACTCGGTCCGCAAGTCCATGAGCACAGTCATCCACCTGCCCGACGGCAGCTTCCGCCTCTTCAGCAAGGGGGCCTCGGAGATCCTGCTCAAAAAGTGAGTGGGCCACAGGAGGAGCCAGGGGCTGGGTGGCTGGGGCTAGCTAAAGGGTGTGCACAAAATCTCTTGCTTTATGTCTGTGGCAAAACAGGCCTAAAATGCAATTGACTATTTTAACTGCTTTCTACTGTGTGGTTTGGTGGCACTCAGTGTATTCACAATGTCAACTGTCTCTGCTGCCGGTTCTAAAACATTTCGATCACCTTAGAAGGAAACCTAGATACATTAAGTAGTTACTCTTCAGCCCTGACCACAACTGCTCTGCTGTCTGTCCTTCTGGATTTGCCTAATTTGGACCAGTCCATTTATATGGAATCATATACTTAGTGGCATTTGTGTCTGCCTTTTTTTTCCTGAGAATAATGTCCTCATATATCAGAATTTCATTCCTTTTTGGCAGTTGAATACCATCCTCCATATAGGGAAGACCATGTTTTGTTTCCCCATTCATCCATGTACAGAACAGGGCTGTTTCCACAGTTTGGCTATGGTGAAAAACGCCATGAAAGTTCATATATATGTTACTGTTTGAACACACATTTTCAACTCTTGGGGGATACACGCTGTGTTAGCTTTCCATTACTATGACAAATAACTAGATAGGCAACTTATAAAGAGAAAAGGTTTATTTTGGCTTACAGTTTTTGGAAGTTTCAGTCTATGGTCTGTCGGTCTCATTATAAGACCACTACATCATGGCAGGGAGTGTGCAGTGGCGCAAAACGTCACTCATTTTGTGGCTGGGATGAGAAGGAGGAAGACACTATAGTCTGATGACCTCCTTTGAAGGCACACAGTCAGTGACCTAAAACCTCCCTGTTAGGCCTTACCTTTTAAAGTTCTACCACCTCCTGGTAGTATCAAGCTGAGGACCAAGTCTTTAAATCCAGAGGCCTCTGGGAGATAGTCCAGATCCATGTAGGCATAGGGCCACCTCACAGTGAAAAACACATTCAGTCCATCTCTGAGAGTCCCCAAAATCTTAACAATTCCAGCATTGCTCAAAAGTCCAAGTCCAAAGTTCCCTCTAGGACTCAAGGCAAACTCTTAGCTGTGAGCACCTGTAAATATCAAAAAAGAAAGGTAAACACTTCCAACATGCATTGGCATAACGATAAACATTCCCATTCTAACAGGGGACAAGTAAGAAAGTCACATGGAAGGATCAGACCAAAGCAAGACCAAAACCCAGGAGGGAAAACATCAAAGCTGAAAACTCCAGGGCCACATTTGGGACACATTGTGATGGGATATGGACCCCCAAGGACTTAAACAGCCTCACCCTTGTAAATTTGCTGGGGGCAGCCTTCATGGATTCCCTCAGGATTAGCTTTGCTCTGCCATGCATCTCCTGCCCCACAGGCCTTCCTTTGCAGTCTTGGTGGAAGCCTCCTTGGCCCCATAACTCTTGTGCTGTGCATGTCTGCAAACTCCAGTGTCTCATAGATGATGTCCAGATCTGCCGCCAATGTGAGCTACACCTGGGCCCCCTTGAACCATGGCTCCTGCAGTCCTGAGTGCCTGGATTAGTACAGGGAAAATAATCCCAGGAAAACAATTCCCTAGGTGCTTTTGGGTGGACAGGGCACTCTGGGCCACTCTTCTCCAAAGACTGACCTGGAAAGTCTTTCATACAAATTTGTATTTCTTTCTCTCTAAGCCTGATATTCCCTGGAGTCTTCCCTATGCTTCAAATGAAAAGGATTAGCTCCTTTTTAGCAGTAGTAGCAACTACAACTGCACCTTCCTTAGCCACAACATCATGTATACTTCTTTTCCAGCCAAACAGTGACTTTTCCAAGTCTCTTTACTCTGTTCTCCTTACTCCCAGTTCTCAGTAAGTTTGGTTTAAAGCAGTCAGCAATACCCATACCATCGACTAAACACTGTACTGCCTTGAAATTCCTCCACTAGATAAATAAGTCCATCGCCTTCAGAGCCAGATGCCCATAAAGTCTTGGGGCATTGACAAAATACCACCAAGTTTTTTCTCGCCACAGCACAACAAGGATGAGCTGCCAGCCTACTGCCCACCAGAGCCCTTGTTCTGTCCGAAAGCTCATCAGCATAACCTGTGCTGCTGCATCTGCTCAGCACTGGGGGCTGCCGAGCTCCCACCAGAGTCACGAGGAATCTCTGCTTTCCCTAGCCTTTCTCTAGGCTGCTCCCCCAAACTCCTCCAGGGCTCCTTCCGCAGACTCTTCCACTTTGTGGTTTCCAGTGACAGCACCAATTCCACTCCTTGGTGCCAGTTTTCGAGGCATCCTCACTGTCTGCCATATTAGCCATCACCTCCGCCTAGGGATGAGCTTGCCCGACCATGTGGCCACTTTGTGCCTACATCTTTGAGACCCCTGCCAAGAGGGTTTTCAAAATGTCTCCACTGTCCCTGGCCCCACCCACAAGTACTTCTCATCTTCACCAGTATTTGTTATTTTCTGCTATGCCTGTCACCCTTCCCATCCTAGTGGGCGTGCAGTGGGAACTTGTGCTGGTTGTGACTTGCATGTCCCCAGGGACTGTATCTTGGGCCAATTTCCCTGGGCTCAGTGGTCATCCCTAGGCCTCCTTTGCCCATGTTGGAGGGGGGTCGTTTGTCCTTTCACCGCTGAGTTGGAAGTGTTCTTATATATTCTGGATGCTAGATCCACACCAACCCTACTCTGTGGCTATTTCTTCCCATCCCATGACTTGTCTTCTCACACTCTTGCTGTGTTTCAAGACTGTGCTTAAGTCCAAGCATCTGTCCCTGCTGCTGCAGTTTATGTGGGTTTCTTTCCGAGGCTATGAAAGTGTTCTAGTTGATCGTGGTGGTGTGTGTATGTATCGTTGAAATCCCAAGACCCATTGAATTGCATGATTTCAATGGGCAAATTCTGTGGTATGTGAATTATAAATCAATAAAGCTGCACCCATGGCCCTGGCCTTTCTGTCCCCCATATGCTCCTCCCTTCACAAGCCCACCACCCACTCACCGAGCACACCCTTACCGGGCCACCAGCCAGCATGGGTGACTCCAGGTGGCCCTACCCAAAGCCACCTCCCACCTGATGCTGTCCCTGCTGAGGGTGGCTGCTGGATTGAGGTGCCCAGTCCTCTTTCCATGCCTCCCTTCCGGTGAGTGCTGTGGGCCCAAGCTCTGCAGCTGGGGCTGAACTCTGGTCCTACTGCTCTCCTTTGCCAACTGTGTCAACATGAGCAGGTTATACCTCCACTGCCTCAGTTTCCCCTCCTAACAGGGAGCTAGAAAGCATATTGATCTCCTGGGAGTGTTCCTCATCTTGACAGCCAGTTCGTGTGTCACCCGTCTCCCTTCTTCCACCACTCCTGTCCTCTGGCTGGATCCCCTAGGCTCATCAGAGCCTGGACTGACACACCTGCCACCCAAACGCATGGCTTTCAGCTTTTCCTGGAGTCTGTCGACACCTGCCACAACCTGGCATCCTTCCTGCCACCCCGGTCTCTTGGGCAACCACAATACATGAGTGTCCCGAGGCTGCAGGAACAAATGTTCCCAAACCAGGTGGCCTCGAACAACAGAAACTTGCCACCTCTCAGTTCCAGAGGCCAGAAGTCAGTCAAAAGTCAAAGATGGACTGGGCCATGCTCCCCCAGAAGCTGTAAGGGCCCATCCTCACTGCCTCCCCAGTTTTCTGGGAGGTGGCTGTCATCGTTAGTGCTGTGGCTCACAGCTGCAGCATGCTACCCTCTGCCTACAGTTACAGGCCATTCTCCCTGTCCATGTGTTTCTACACACCCTGTTCTCTTGGGGGGACTCAGTCATGGCTGAGGCCCTGCCCCAATCTGGTGCGATCGGCACTGTTTTCCCTGGTTGCTTCCTGTCTCCACCTCACCCGGCCCCCTCCCTGCCCAGGTGCACCAACATCTTAAACAGCAGTGGGGAACTCCGGAGCTTCCGCCCTCGGGACCGGGATGACATGGTGAAGAAGGTTATAGAGCCGATGGCCTGTGACGGCCTGCGCACCATCTGCGTCGCCTACCGAGACTTCTCTGCAGGCCAGGAGCCTGACTGGGACAACGAGAATGAAGTGGTGGGAGACCTCACCTGCATCGCCGTCGTGGGCATCGAAGACCCCGTGCGGCCCGAGGTAGCCACCCCTCTTCTGGTCACTGACCTGGTAACTCCCTTGAGCCTGGGCTTATCCAGTGGGTGGTGGCTGGACTTTTCTCGTATCTGACTTTTCCAGTTGTCACCGTTTTCCTGCCAGAGTTATAAGTAGGGCAAACTGGCCAGTTCCAGAGTCCAGGAAGACTGGGCAGGGCACCTGATGACAGACTTGGGGCATTCCAGGGACATGACTGTCCCACCCAAGATCAGAGCACCTTTAACATGCTGGGCTCTGGCCCACACAACTGGGGAGCAAACTGTACACTAGAGGCCCCATCTACTTGTCTGTGGGTGGTCACCAGGGGTGACTGAGTGGGGAAGCCTGAGGGGACACAAGTTTGGGGGACAAGGTGGGAAGATCTCAGACAAGGGTTTGGTTAGGCCCAAAAGTTTAGCTTCAGGACTTCTGTGGAAAGTTGAGTGGCCAGGGGGCTAAGGGGCTGATGGAAGGATGTGCTGGGGACATCTTTAAGCAGATGACGCCACCAGGGTAACGTGGCTGTGACCGACAAGAACAGAATGAAGAAGAGCAGGTGAACTCAGGCCCAGCCTTGACGCTGACATGGCTTTGCTTTTTTTTTTTTTTTTTTTTTTTTTTTTTTTTTTTGAAGATTTTTTAAAAAATTTTATTTAAGGAGAAAAAAGAAAAAAAACAGAAAAAGGGTACAAGTTATATAGAATTTCAGAAAAAATAAACAGTAGGAAATCACTAGTTAATAGATTACATATTGTCATCTTAGAAATAGTTGTTCCAGTTACAAAATTAAAGCATATAAAGTGGACATTCAAACAGTGAGACTGCAAACAGTTCTGTTCAATGATCCAATAAAACTCAGTAATATGGTTACCTATCTTATACACTTAAATATACATGCAGTTCATGGCTTTGCTTTTTAAAGATGGGACACCCTCAGGCAGGCAGAGTCAGAAAGAGCTCTCTGCATCCCAGACCCTCTCCATCAGTGCCACCTCCTGTCAGCAGCAAGGCTACCTCGACCCTGCCTCTTAGCTGGAAAAGCAAATGTGTAGAATGTGCAGGCATCAGGATGGGCGGAGAGACCTCATGCCTCGGTCACATACCTGAGACACCCAGTTCACAAGACAGTGCTCACCACATTGAAACAGAGACTATGGATCACTGTCAGCAGAGCAACCTTGAGGTCCCAAAGATACCTCGGTCACTGAGCCCAAGCAGGGAACACCTGGCCTGGGAGAAATGGGTGGACACAAGGGAGTTGCAGGGAGTAGCAATTGTTTTTTTGTAAGTGTTCATCTCAGAAAATGTCAAACACTGGCAAGTGACAAGAAAGCCACAAGAGAGACCCCCAGTGGCTAAGGGACAGGAAGAGGTCACCATAGCCTGTGCCTCCAGGAATCAGGGCAACTCCCTTCTGGCTTGAGAGTGGCCAGGAGAGAGTCTCAGGTGGCAGATCACAGTGATAGGGCCAGGTGGGGGGACCAGGCAGACCCTCGGGGGACTGGCCAGCCAGGGGGTGCTGGGGGAGCCCAGAGGGCCTGGTAAAGCACTTGTACTTGGAGACATGGAATGGCTGCCACCAGAAGAGGCAGGGCTGTGTTCACTACTGATGCCAGGGTGCGACCCGGCCACGGCCACAGACACCCAGCTGGCCACCGTGCTGTCAGGCTCTGGGGAGAAAGCAACAGGAGGGACAGTTCTTCCCAGACAGATGAGGCATGCCACCACCTGGGGCTACAGCTACCAGGCCTCAGGCTCTTCATGGCCACTTGGTGGCAGCAGAGGGGTGGCATGGGAGCTGACTAGTAGCTCATGGCCTTATGCAGCACCCCAAGATCCTCAGAAAGCAGAAGGCATCCCTGAGGCTGGACACAGACGCAGGTGCAGGATACGCGCTCCCTCTGGCAGCTGAGCTCTTCCCGGCCACTCCCAGGCCACTTGCTTTGGGGATTACTGGCCCTGTGTCACAAGCCTGAAGTGGAGACCGCTGTATTCTCACCTCCACTGTCTCTTGGCTGCTCTGGGCTGAACCTACCTTGACCCCGCTCAGCCCTGCTGTTCTGCTTTTTACCGGCCACTAGTCTTCGTCCTTTCCTGTCAAACCCGAGGCATGCTGTCGACCGAGCAGCGCTCTGCTTCCCCAGCCCGGAGCGCCAAGAAGAAGGCTCATTCCCCAGGGAAATGGTTGTTTTGTTTTTTTCATGTTTTGTTTTTTTTGTATTTTGTGAGACAGGGTCTCACTACACAGTTCAAGCTGGCCTTGAACCCCCTATGGAGGCCAGGTTGGCCTCAAACTCACAGTGATCCTCCTGCCTCAGCCTCCTGAGTACTGCGATTACAGGCATGGGCCACCATACCTGGCTGGTTTAGGGTTTATACTGTGACATAAAAGCGGAGACAAATGAGTGATGAGCTCAGAGCTTGACCACAAGCCAGCTGGTGGCGGGGAGGCCACCCTGAGTCAGGATCCTGGCAAACATCAGGGACCCAGCAAAGTGCCCAGGGTTGGGAGGCCAACACCACCACCGTCCAGCTGTGACCAGCAAGCTGGCTCTGCTCAACAGTTCTGAGGCTCAGTTTCCAAGCTGGAAAACAACACTGACAGAGTTGGGTGATCCCGTCGTCACCCTGACGACCTTTGCAAACTTGAGTCTGATAATTCCCTTGCTAGGCATAAAAGCTTCTGGTGGCTTTCTGCCAGCCCTGCTTGTACCACTAGGGCCGGATCTGAACTGTCACTGGCCCCTGGGGTACAGTGTGGTGAAGGGAGAAACTGGGGAAGGTGGCCAAGGGGCTTGGGGAGGTGACTCCTCTGTCACCCAAGAGATCCTTGCTCCACTGCCAGCCTCGCTGGAACTCAGAGTCCTGCAGATCTGGATGCAGGGAGGGACACAGCCCGTGTCAAACCCCTCAGGCTTGACTGGCCCCTCCCACTTGTGTCGTGTCTTGCAGGTCCCTGAAGCTATCCGCAAATGCCAGCGTGCTGGCATCACAGTCCGAATGGTGACTGGAGACAATATCAACACGGCCCGGGCTATCGCAGCCAAGTGTGGCATCATCCAGCCCGGGGAAGATTTCCTGTGCTTGGAGGGGAAGGAGTTCAATCGGAGGATCCGCAATGAGAAAGGAGAGGTAGCCCCACTCCCTCCCTACCCCACCCCACCCCACCCCTGCGCATGCATCTTGGCTCTGCAGCATCCCTGTGCCTCCCCAGATAGAACAGGAGCGGCTGGACAAGGTGTGGCCAAAGCTGCGGGTGCTGGCCCGGTCATCTCCCACTGACAAACACACTCTGGTCAAAGGTAAATGAACTCTCTTGCCCTCTCCCCTGTGGGCCAGCAGCAGCACCCCTGCATGCTGTGACAATTGCTCCTGGACACCCTATGCCACTCTCTGGGTCCCCAGGGCCTGCCTAGGAAGACAGGGGCCATAACTGTAGACCTGCTGCTTCTAGAAACAGTGAAATAAATCCAAGGAAGCAAATTCTCTAGAAGGTCCTTCTTGAACAGGGATCCCAGGGACTCTTTCTCAAGTGAATAGAAAGTGCCCGTGCAAGAAAGGCTCACAGGGGCTGGCAATAAAACTCAGTAGCACAGTGCCTGCCTGGCAAGTGCAAAGTCCTGAGTTCGATTCCTGGTACAAAAAAAAAAAAAAAAAAAAGAAGGGCCCATAGAGGCTGCCTCTTTGTCAAAACAGACAGGGAAATTGAACCCCAGGAGAGGGAGACATTTATCCAAGTCACACAGTATAAGGACTGTCCCTTCTCCCAAATCACACCACCCTGGTTACGGATGGCACCAGCCGTGCCCTGCCTTGTTCTGTGTTCCAGGGATTATTGACAGCACCACAGGTGAACAGCGGCAGGTGGTGGCAGTGACCGGGGATGGCACCAATGATGGGCCAGCCCTCAAGAAGGCGGACGTGGGCTTTGCCATGGTAAGCCACTGTGTCAGCCAGCCTGCCCATTGCTGGAACCAAAAAGCTGACACTCACAACTCAAAGGAGGAAATGGTTTATGCGGCTCATGGTTTCGGAGGAGTCAGTGCATGGTCAGCTGCTGCAGCACAGGAATAGCACAATGGGAGGCATGGGGATCAAGGTTGCCCACCTCAGTGGCAACTGAGAAGCACAACAGGGAGCTGTGCCAGAGAGGAAGTGGTCAGAGACCATGTATCATACCCAAAGTCATGCCTCCATGACCAACCCAGACACCAGAAGTGTGCTTTACTACTGCCCAATCAAGTCGACCTACCACAGTTAATAGTCACAACCCACCCCTTGTCAACTTGACAAGCACACATATCTCCATTTGGCTCACAGTATCAGAGGACTGAGCCCACGGCCACCTGGCTCCAAAATGGAACATGACAGAAGGATATGATGGAGCAAAGGTGCTTAGTTTATGATGGCCAAGAAGCTGAGCAGGGAAACTGTGCCAGAGAGGAAGGCACAAAGGACTCAATATAGTGCCCAAGTTCACAACTTCGTGACACATCCAGACACACCCAGAAGTGTGCTTTGCTAGTCCCTTGGGCGTTCCTTAACCCAGTCATGGCCACCCGTGCCAGGCTGGCTTACCAGAGTCAATGAGACCTGTGGCCCACAGACATTAGATTTACGCCCGAAAGTGAGAGTGAGGATAGGGTGCAGAGTGCTGGAAGGTTCTTTCACATCCTAGCATTTTGGGCCTGAATGGGATCTGCCCATTGAGACATGTGTGTGATTTGTTTAAGGACATTTGATGTGATGACACCTGTGGTGACAGGCCAAGCTGCACCATTAGATGAGAGCAGGGGGCAGGGAGCTTGTCAGTGGTGCCCCCAGTCTGCCAGTGCACACTCCCAGTCAGCTCCTAAGTGGACTGTTGGTCCAAATGTGTACCATGTCCCTACTGCTGGTAAGGAGCTAGCTCTTCCCGTAAAACCCCGATCCTACCAAGCAGGCACTGTCACAAGGCTGGCCCTGGGCTTACAGAGAGCTGGGCTTGGCAGCAGCCTGGTGAGCCATGTTCCCACCTTGTGGAAGGGACCACCCTTTAGTCAGCCCACGTTCAGTGTGGCCCACCAGGAGTCTCATCCAGCCTTCCCATACTCCACCATGGAGGGGAAACCAAGCCTAGCTTCCCTGCGCCAAGGAAGGGCTCCATGAGCACTCTGTGTGTGTTTGTGTGCCACCCTCAGGGCATCGCAGGCACTGATGTGGCCAAGGAGGCCTCTGACATCATCTTGACCGATGACAACTTCACCAGCATTGTCAAGGCAGTCATGTGGGGCCGCAACGTCTACGACAGCATCTCCAAGTTCCTGCAGTTCCAGCTGACAGTCAACGTGGTGGCTGTGATTGTGGCCTTCACAGGCGCCTGCATTACTCAGGTGGGGACAAGGGACTCTCCTTCCCATGAGCACTGGGGCTTTGACTAGGGAGCTCAGGTCTGAGGGTCAATTGAGAGTAAATTTCTTCTTTGCTGTAGATTCTTTCTCTTGTTTTGTTTTGCTTTGCTTTGTCTTGTTTTGTTTTGTTTGATACAGGGTCACATTGTGCAGTTCAGGCTGGCCTTGAACTTGCTATGTAGCCCACTCTGGTCTCAAACTTGCAGCGATCCTCCTGTCTCAGCCTGCCAAGTGCTGGGATAACAGGCGTGTGCCACCACACCAGGCTCTTTGCTGCAGACTCTTTTTCTGAAATCAAATTCAAATACCAGACAAATTGCCACTGCAGAGTACACAGTTCAGCTGGTTTTTAGCATATTCACAGTATTCTCTCTAGTTCCAGAACATGCTCACGGATCCCAAAGGAAATGGCATACCCACTGGCAGGCACACCCTTCCCCCGGCCCCTGCCTCTGTAGAGCTGCTGGTCTGAACATTTTATATGAAGGGACTCAAGTCATTTGTGGCCTTTCACACTTCTGGCTAAAAACCAGCTCACATGGCATCCGCCATTCCTAGAATCTGTGGAGATGCATTTTCCCACCCCTGGGCCCTGTGAGACCCGCATTTGACCCTTGGTAGAACTCGTTCACCTCCTCAGCCAGAGTCCAGGGTGTGCTGGACACTCATGGTTTCTTTTAAACAATGGATATCTAATTCCCATGACATAAACTTTGCCATAACAAACATTTGAAAGTATAATTTGGCACGTGTTAATATATTCACAATGCGATAGAATTGGCCCACTAGCAGACACAGGACATCATCCAAGAGGAAACCCTGCACCCCAGAGCCTTCACTCAGTCTTTTCCCCCAGCCCTTGGACCCTGACCCTGATCTCTGTGTGGACTTGGCAGTACCAGAAGTAGCCCAAGAACGGCATCATGTGACCCATAGCCTCCTGCCTCAGGTTTCCATGAAGCCAAGTTTTCAGAACAACTCAGAAGGGATAACAAGAAAGTGGTCAGCTTTCCTGTCACTGGGTCACAATACCTGACGCCAAAAACTTAAAGGAAAAGAGGTTTAATTTGGCTCGTGGTTTTGGGGAACCCAGTCAATGGCTGGCTGGCTCCAGTACGGGAGCATCACAGCAGAAAGGCATGGCGAAGCAGGGTAGGGGACAGCACCAGCTAGGGAATGGGCCAAGGCCCAGCTATAAACCCCCAAGTCACACTTTCGTGACCCAGCCAGACACACTCACAAGGATGTTCCACCAATTCGCCCCCTACACCCTGGCAGATCCCAAAGCCAATCAGAGTGACACCGTACCCTAACCTCCACAGCAGGTCAGATTCAGAGTGTGGGCCTCTTCCTGTCCTAAGAGAGGCAGGCAGCACTGCAAGCACTGTGGTCCCAAAAGGCAGTGAGGGCCCAGTCTTTGGGCCATTTTGCAGGCTGGGGCTTTCAGTCTCCTAAGGATTTGGATAGCTTGGAGATCACTGCCAGAGGTAGCCAGAGGAGGGATGTGGCAGGAACCTGAAAGCCCAGTAGGAAAAGCTGCCACCCTAAGGGACTACCTGGGCTGGAGATGTCCTGCCGCGTAGCAGTGCAAGTCCAGGATATGGAGCCCTCACGGAGTTCTTCCCTGTGAGGTGGCCGATGACTGTCCCCTCTCCACAGGACTCCCCACTCAAAGCCGTGCAGATGTTGTGGGTGAACCTGATCATGGACACCTTTGCCTCTCTGGCCCTGGCGACAGAGCCTCCCACAGAGTCGCTGCTGCTGCGGAAGCCATACGGCCGCGACAAGCCCCTCATCTCACGCACGATGATGAAGAACATCCTGGGCCACGCCGTCTACCAGCTCACCATCATCTTCACACTGCTCTTTGTCGGTAAGTTGGTGCTGTTGCTGTCCCTGCAGCCCCAGGCCCCGTGCGGTACACACACGACATCAGCGCAGCACACATAGAGAGGGACGCGGCAGTGGTTCCTCTCCAGCGGTGCCGGTGCGGGTGCCGGTGCAGGTGCCGGTGCCAGTGCTGGGAGGGGCGGCCACTTGCCCTCAGCCCCGCCCCTCCACTCTGCCCTCCAGGGGAGCTCTTCTTCGACATTGACAGCGGGAGGAACGCGCCGCTGCACTCACCGCCCTCCGAGCACTACACCATCATTTTCAACACCTTCGTCCTGATGCAGCTCTTCAACGAGATCAACGCCCGCAAGATCCACGGCGAGCGCAACGTCTTCGACGGCATCTTCAGCAACCCCATCTTCTGCACCATCGTGCTGGGCACCTTCGGGATCCAGGTAGCAGGGTCAGCCAGGGTACCCTGGCCCCGTCTGTCCCCATGCAGGCCTGTCTGTCTCCATTCCCAAAAGCAGGGAACCCCTGGCTGGTTTCCCACAACTGTCCCCATGCCGCCCTCTGACACCACTGGGCTGGCCTGACCTTACCTGTGAGCTCGCTGGGGTTAGGGCCCTTGTTGGCGCAGCCTCCCTGTGAGCCTGGGAGCAGTCCATCTTGTGTGTGCCCAGCCCTGCCATCCCCAGATCCAGCTCCTCACTCCTGGAAGTCTAGAAGCTTCTTTTGGTGATGCCTGATGTACCCAAGGCCAGCATGCTGAGCCCTCTGCCTGGCAGGGGTGGCGGGTCCTAAAACACTGACTTGGAAGAAATCCCAAGTGTACTATGGGCCGTGGCACGGGGCATTTGGGAAAAGGGATGCAGTGGGCTTGGGGGGAGCTACTGTGAGGGGTCCTGCCCACCCTGGTGGCCCAGCTCCTGGCTCAGGAGACGGGGGTGGTTTCTGGATTGAACGCCTCTATGGGAAATGCTTGCCCAGTGAATACGAGGGAGCAGGACCCAAGGCAGTTGACTCTTGTGTTATGGGCAATGTGACCTTCCTGTTCCGGGGTCTGGTGTGGGGTGCCTGCAGGCTGGGTGCTGGCAGAGGCTGGGAACATGGCAGCACCCCACCCAGAGCCAGAGTCGCTGGTTACCTAGCACCTTCCCACAGGGGAGCTGAGGCCACATGCCAAGTACACTATGGTCTGTTGTGGCATCCCTAGCCCATGGTCAGTATGGAGAAGCCACCTCTAGCTGCTTGCTGAGGGTGACTGAAGGGAAGGATGCCCAGAAAGAAGAGCCCCACCCTCCCCTGGCACAGCCACGAGTGGGCAGGCAAGGGCTGGGAGCGTACTGCTATACCCACCCCCACCCCCGCTCCTGCAGATTGTCATCGTCCAGTTTGGTGGAAAGCCCTTCAGCTGCTCCCCACTGTCCACAGAACAGTGGCTCTGGTGCCTGTTCGTCGGTGTTGGGGAGCTGGTCTGGGGACAGGTGAGTCTTCCTGCTCAGCTTCCTCCCCTGCCCACTTCCGGGCATCTCTACTATGACACCAGTGATAGGCAAGATCTCAGAAGGCTTGGGCAGCTCAGGGCGTCCCTGCCCAGACTCCCTGCCCTGGAGCCTCAGAGCCTGCACCTGTGATATACTGCCATGACCTGGGGGACACCTGTGACTTACCATGACCTGGGGACAAGGCCACAAATGACAGCTTCAGCACAGCACATGCAAAAGACATAGCTGGGCTGTCACAGCCCCAGGAAGCCACCCTCTTCCCATGACAGCAGCCCAAACTTGCTTCCCACTTGGGAAGTCATCACAGATTTGAAATTTAAAATCTCCCCACTAACTAACCTGCCGGACCAAGCCAAGGTCTCGAGAAATTCAGGATTCCGACCTGCAGAAAATGAAAGAACCTGTGTCCAGACCGGGGGCTGCAGTGAAGCCACCTGCAGGGGCAGGTGACAGTGATCAGATGAGGAGGCAGCAGCCTGGGTCACAAGTGGCTCACCGAGCGTCCCTGGTGCTCCCGGACACACTGCCTGCTCTCTGAGCCCCAGTCCCAGGCTGCCGTAGCACTGTGCTACACCCGCAGCCCCTTTTCACCTTTATATGTGGAGGCAGGATCCCACTAAGTCATTCAGTTGCCCAGGCTGGGCATGCGCCACCTGCAGCTGGCTCCTCTTTGTATTTTATTTTATTTTATTTTTTTCAGTGCCGAGACTGGAACCCGTGGCCTCATGCATCCTAGGCAAGCACTCTACCCCCAACCTGCACCCCCAGCCCCTTTTATCTCATTTTGAAACAGGGTCTAAGCTTCCCAGGCTGGCCTCAAACATGGAATCCTCCCACCTCAGCCTCCCAAGTAGAAGTAGCTTTAGGGTGTGTCCACTCCTCTGTGGCCCTAAGTCCTGCCCTTTGTCTCAAGTGAGCCACATCCTCTCAGGCAGAATGGCCCAGGGTCCCTGAGATATTTCTCAGGTTGCCATAGCATCTCCGAGAGGTCCCCTGGCCAGATGGGGCTCAACGAAGGACACAAGGGCTGCTGGCCCAGATCACCAGGAGGTGGGGTCTCTTGGCTCTCCCTGTCCCCCACAGCCTGCTCTCACAGTCACCTCTGCTTACTGTCCCTCAATGGGGGCTCCCTCAGGTCATTGCCACCATCCCCACCAGCCAGCTCAAGTGCCTGAAGGAGGCGGGCCACGGGCCAGGCAAGGATGAGATGACCGATGAGGAGCTGGCCGAGGGGGAAGAGGAGATCGACCACGCCGAGCGCGAGCTGCGCAGGGGCCAGATCCTCTGGTTCCGAGGCCTCAACCGGATCCAGACACAGGTAGGCAGCCACGTACCTCACTGGTCTGGAGACTTTGCCCACACAGGGGCAGACAAGTAGCAGCAGCTTTGGCCTGCCCTCTGCCACTGCAGCGTGCCTGCCGCTGGCCATGGCTCTGGATGGCCTCCTCGACACCTACCTCGGCAGCCAGGTGCCCCAGAGCAGGCACGGGGGCTGACGGACACTGTGTAGGTGACAAGTGGCCATCTGCTCTGCTTGGTGGGACCCGCCCCGGCTTGTGGGCACATGGCATTGCCCAGATGTCAGGGCTGGCCAAGACTAGGCCACTAGCCACAGCCCCTGTAGTCACATGACCACAACTCCAGCCCAGCAGCAGGCGCTTGAGAAAGCTTCACAACAGCCTGTGTGCCTGAGCTGTGCGGCTCTTGGCCCCTGCCTCCCAATGGCTGACTTCTTTCCAGAATGTTCCACACTTGGCCAATTCTCTACATGCTTCCCTTGAGCCTTCTGCCATCACACTGTCCCTACTCCCCAGCCTGCAAGGCCTCCTTTCTCTCCATCCTCCCGGCTTCCCGGTCACCCTCTGGGGGTGACACTGACCCTGTGGCCCTGGTGGCTCGCTTTCTGTCTGTGTCTCCATCATCCCTTGCCCTCACTATGGCAGCCTCACCTCCTGCCCAGCCCCCGGTCTGTCCTGCTGACAGGAATGGCCTTAGGAGGGAGGGAGGAACCTCTGGTGGCCCATCAGGTTCCCTGGGCCCTGTCATATGGCAGCCTCACCCCTCCCCGCAGCCCCCAGGTGACCCTGGCCATCTCGCTACCTTATTCTCCTGCGAGGCCCTGACCACCTTCTCCTGGGTGACACTACCACTGGCCCTGACCAGGGTCCTATCAGCTTAGGCAGAGCCACACCCAGCTGAGTCCGGCTTGGGAGTCTGCCTGGACAATTTCCAGGGCAGATCTGAGGCCACACCCCTCCAGTGTCTACATCCAGCCTGCCACATACAGCCAGTGGCATGATGGGGACCTCTCTTCCCAGGGAACCCAGCTCTCCACATCTCCCCTGCCTTGCTCCTCTGATGCTGCACTCTGCCCCGGACTGGCAAAGCTGTCCCCATTGTTCTGAGGGTGAAGTCTGGAGTCCTGACTGTGGCCCACAAGGCCTGACAATACCTTGTGCCCCTGGCTCCCACGCTGGCCACCACACTTCTCCGCCTGCTTGCTGCCGAGGGCCCCTGTGTGTGTGCAGTGCCAAGCCTGATGACACCTTTCCATGTCCATCCCCCTGCCAGCCTGGGGCCCTGAGTCCTTGCATGTCAAAATGCTGCACAGTCCCCAAGACCACGGCCAGGGAATGGACCCCTATGGGGTGGGGGAGGCAGTACCAAGGAAGTCCAGCACCCCAAGGGCCTCCACCAGTAGGGCTGGTATCCTGAGCGCCTCTCCTAGCCAGGAGCTAGAGGGAGCCCCGGGGTGAGGGAGACAGCCCCTGGGGTCTCCTGTCCACCAAGATGTTAATGCTTCCAGCCGCTCCCACAGGACAGGACAGGTGCGCCGCAGGGACTTTCTTCTTGTTTCTTAAAATAAATATTTAGGTACAAATTTAAACCTAAGAATGTTAGAAAGAAAGTAGCCCCTGTGTCTCTCCAGCAGCCCTCTGAGCTGGGGTGGGAATGGGGGCTCTTGTCTGGAGGACTGCAGTTCTGCCACAGAGCCCAGGGCTGGCCTGAGCCCGGGACAGGCACAGCAGGACCGCGCTCCCCACAGGCCCATTTCACTTCTGTCTGCGCAGCACGTGGCAGTGTTGGCCTGTGCACCAGCTGGGACAGCAGCCCTGCCCCCATCAGGGGCGTCAGTGGTGACCTGGCCATCTGTGTGTGTTGTGTTTCATGTGCCTGTGGGCTCCTGGGTGCTCCTGCTGTCCTGTCGGTCAGCACACACACATACGCTTCAGCAGTGAGGCAACGGTGCCCCAAGGGAAGGGACGGCCCAAGGTCATCAATGAGAGCCAGAGGCCTAAGTTCCTGGGCCTGCCCCTGAGCACCCTCCTAAGATTTCTCAGTTTCATGAACCACATGATTGTTCCCCAGATTTCAGAGGCCTCCATGAAGTTTTCTGTTGCTAAGCAACGCACTACCTGCTCTCACCATGGGTCCATAGTGACACATCAGAGCACCAGGCCTTCCTGCCCCAGCCTTCCGTTCTTGTACATATGACGGAGCTCTCTAGCTCGCCCCCAGCCTAGGGCTCGGGCTTCCAGTCAGAGGGGAGGTGGCAGTGGCAGTGTGTTCAGTGATAGCAATCCCATGGGGCTTCCATGCAGAGCCAGGGGAAGTCATAGGAAAGGCATGTGTCCTATCACCTGTCACTTTTGCCACATTAACAGTCCTCCCTTGAGAGAGACTCATCTCCATAGCCCAGAAACCTTAAACTCCAGCTGGGAAACCCCCCACAAGAGACCTAGATGGCCTCTCATCCACCATCGTCCCTTCCCCCACCCCACCCAGGGTGCACAGTCACAGCATGAGGTCCCCTGGTCCTCAGCAGATGGAAGGGGTGCTGAGCAGGTGGAGTAAGGTGATGAGACTTGGCCACACTACATTGGAGGTGGAAGTGACATCCATCTGCATTTTGGCTGGGGTGGGGAGTACTGAACACTGAAGCTGCCTTCTTCCGAGACCCATGTCAGACACCCAGATGAACCTGGTGGCTACCACTCAGCCACAGCAGGGCTTGGGGTGGGTGGGGCAGGCAGGGAGGATGCTTTCAGCCCCAGGAATGCACACGCTTCGCTGCTTATGTTATCCAGCGAACTCCGTGGTACTCTCGGGAAGTCAGAACTACCCTCTCTAAGGCCAAAATTTGTCCCCATCTTGAGACCAAAGTGCCACTGCCAGTCAAAGGTGGAGTCCAAAACACAGAGACACTGGGTTTATCCTCAGGGCACTCACCTTGGCAGACTCAGTTCCCTTCCAACTTTGGGAAGCTTAAAGGGTAGAGACAAAGCAGAGGCGAGCTCTGCCCCTGAATCGTCCGAGCGGCCACGCCTGTGGGTCCAGGGAGGGCTTCCTAAGCCTGAGCCTCCACTGGTGTGTGTGGGGGCTCCTTGGTGGAAGCAGGGTGCTGGCATCCCATATCACAGTGGAGTGGGCTGATGCGGGACGGGACGGGGCGGGGCCAGTGCAAGGCGCCCCCCCCCCAGGGATGCAGCAAGCAGCAGCCCGGAGAGCCTGTCCTAACGGCACGTCGTGTCCCTCAGGTGTGTTGGGGCCGTAGAAAAGGTTGAGAGCTACGGAAGTAGAATAACAGAGTACTGACAGATGCAGGTACTGACTGGCGAGTGGCGCGAACGCACATGACTCTTTGCGACACGTGTCACCGTCCCCATGACCACTAGGCATCTGCCCAGCCCAAAGCACTGGCAGCTCCTGGCGAGCAGGGCGGGCCCAGCTGGGGCTTCGCTGTGGCGACGTGCCCGTGTGCCCACCCCGCCCTCGCCCAGCCCTGCCCCTGCTATAGCCAGGAGTGCAGTGCGAGCCAACCTTTATCTCGTTTTCTCTCCCACAGATGGAGGTAGTGAGTACCTTCAAGAGAAGCGGGTCATTTCAGGGTGCTGTGCGCCGGCGGTCTTCGGTCCTCAGCCAGCTCCATGACGTAACCAATCTTTCTACCCCTACTCACCTAACTCTCTCTGCCGCCAAGCCCGCCAGCGCCGCCGGCAGTGAGTCTTGACTCCTTTTCTCTCATAAATGGCATCTGGGGGAACACAAAGGCCCCGCTCTGCCTTCTCTCTTCCAGTCTTGCATTTCCGCGCACCGTGGCTTTCTGCTCCTTCTCTGCCGCCCCGTCCAGCCCTCCCGCCCGACCCGACGGCGTCTCTCCAAAGCCATATTCTCTGAAATGTACGAACCCAAGGCACAGCCAGGCCTGCCGTCCTTTGCTTTGTTGGGGTTTTTAGTTCGCGTTTAGTGCTCCTCCTGCCACTGATTTCCTTTTCTTGAACTTGCCCGTATGTGCTGACGGTTCTTCATGAACTCAGGCCTCGTCCGGTGGCGTCTGGTGGCGTCTGGTGGCGGGGGAGGGGGGTCTCGCTCGCTCGCTCGCTCAGTCGCGTTGGATGCTGAGGGTCAGGGAGGCGCCCAGCCTGGGGCCAGAGTGGGTGACACGTGCCTGCCGGGTGTGCAGCATCGTTTACAGCTGAAGAGTCCAGTCCACCTCTTCGGGACGAAAGCAGCAGTTTCCAGCATGTTCCTTGAGAGGTGGCTTCCAAAGGATGCCACTGTCACCAGTCCCTGAGAAGTAGGGCGGCCACCCTGCCTTGTGTTCCCGAAGCACCTTTGCTCTTTCCAAACAGGCCACGGGGCTGCCAGGTCTCAGCCCGACCTGGGGTGTCCTTGCCCCATTCCTCCGAGGAGCCCGGAGAAATCCTCCCTTCCGCACCTTTCGAACTCGGGGCGGTCCCAATAGGCAGAAACTTCCCTGACCGCTTACATCTTTCCACAAAGACAAAGCCAAGGCCAGTAGACCTCGGACCCGCTACCCTCCGCTTCCCCCAACAGGAGACAATGTGGGGAACCAGGTGGAGTCCCCTCTCCCCAGGGGAAGCCCACTTTTTGTAACGAACTCAGGTTTCAAAGAGCAAACGCTAGACCTTGGAGCTCGAGCCCAGAGCCCTGCCGGCGTGCCACCTTTCTGCTCCTTCCAGTGGCCACCACGCCACCCCTAACCACGCCTTCTTCCCATCACAGACGCTTCCAGTTTCTTTTGGCTTTCTTTTTTCTTTCTTTCTTTTTTTTTTTTTTTCATTTTTTTCTTTTTCTTTCTTTTTTTTTTTTTTTTTTTTTTAGGAAATGGCAAAAGGTCCCCAGTGGGGGGCACCCCTCTTGCTTAAACTACTCTTTCGGGCCACTCAGCCCTTTAAGGAAAAGATGAGGGCCACCCTGGGGACAGCACATTCGTGCCTGCCCGCACACCCCTTTCTCCGGCTTACCCATCTGCCCACTAGGCCACCCTCCGGGGGCCACACACATTGGCTGACACCCGGCCACTGGAGGTTCTGCGGGGTCACTTACACACCGAACACTGTGTGGCCCTCCAGCAGACCTTGGCCAGGCCTCGGGTGCACACTGCAGCTTCTTTCCTGAGAACTCAGGGCCAAGATGGGTGAGGGGTCCTCCCCCTCCATGGTTTTCTTTCTCATCTGTGTTTCCTGTCTGTCCATCTGCCCACCTGTGGACTTAGGGGAAGGCAGCTGACAGGGCCCTATCTCGTGCCCCTCACACCTTTTCCACAGCTCTGGCCTGGTCCCACCAGGGCCAGGCCAGCCTTGGTGACACTCCTATCCCAAGTCTCCACTCATTGGGTGGCACCTGCGGCCCTGGGCTGGGGGCAGCCTCTCTCTCTCTCTCTCTCTCTCTCTCTCTCTCTCTCTCTCTCTCTCTTCTCTTTCTCTCTCTCTCTCTCTCTCTCTCTCTCTCTCTCTCTCTGGCTTCCAGCACTCTCCCCCCTCTCTGCTTCCTTCCTCCCGCAGCCATCTGTCCCTCCCTTCCCATCTCCGGAGCCCTGCAGCGTGGTAAGTAGAGTAGCGTGGGAGGACACTGCCCTTCCACCCACCTCGAGCCGCTCCCAGGGCCCTGGGGCCTTCTGAGGGGACCGGGGAGGGCACAGTGTTCCAGGGACCTCTCAGGCCCATCCCGCTAGGCAGCAGCATCTCAGCAAGGACTCCGGGCAGGGAGATGCTGGCTGGGCACCTGCTTCGGGAAGCCACAGAGTGAAGCTGCTTGTGCTATCACCACTGCATGGCAGATCGCTTTAGGATTCAGAATTCAAGCCCCACTCTTAAGTTTTAGGGGGCCCAAGAAATTCCTGAACCCAGCACTCTCATCTTATGAGTCAAGGGAAGACAGGTGCCCACAAAGCCCAGGAGCTGCCCATGGCTCTGTAGGCAGCCGTGTCTGGCAAAAGGGACAGCTCCACCCTCCCTTGTACCTTGGAACTTTCTAGAAGACCAGAGCTGCTCAGAAGGAAGGCACGGTGAAAGCTCTGACTGAGCACCCCAGACACAAGGTAGTGGTGTATGCAGTGGTGTGGTCACAAGCTAGTGGCCAGGCCCAAGCATGCCATGAGTCTTGGGGCTCCTAGGAAAGCCACAGTTCCAGCCATGCACAATGTTCTGTCCTCTTTGCCTGCCCCAGGCCCCAAAGGAGGCCCGGGACACTGAAGGGGCCCCCAGAGAGAAGGCCAGTAGCCTCATGTCCTGCGGCAAGTGGCTGGAGGGAGACGGTGACCAGGCTCCTGGGCTCTGGTAGCACCTGTGCTGCATGTGCACACATCCTCCACTGCTTCCAGACTTAGGGGTGCTAGCACCGAGCCCACAAATCGCACTGTCACACTGTACCTGCTACAACCCTGACTCCCAGCTCCAGGATGGCCTCTGTGCCCTCGCCCTGCTCCCAGCTACTTCTCCTCCTGGCCTAGGGTGCAGGGCCACTGCTGTCTCCACAGAGCCTCTAAGGCCGGGGTGGCCCTGAAAACTAGGGAACTTCAAAATCCTGTTCCCCACCAGAGCGTCTAGCAGGCACCTCTTCCCAGCCAAGCACACACTTGTGCTGAGGCTGCCAGAGTCTCAGCATCTCCCCACTTGGTGCCAACAGCTCCAGGTATCCTTGGAGGTGGGGTGTTGTGGTCGCTGGGACTAGCTCAGGTAGAAACGGGAGCCTTGCATCCTGGTACCACCAAAGCCTCTCTGAGGGCTCTGGTGGCTCAGGGAGGTCCCATTTTATCCATTTTCAGTGGGGACACAGACATGCCCAGCCACCCCCAGCCACACCCCCAAAGCCTGTTCTCTAAAGGCCCACTGTGATGGCTCTCTCACCCCAACTGGCAGCTGAGCCCACCTGTCCCTCCTGCGACAGTCCTGGGCCTCTGCACTTGAATGCGCACGGGCTGGCTCCTGACTCAGCCCAGCACAGGGCAGGCAGCCCTGTTTGATTCCCTGTGCCAGAGGGGGTCCTGCAGGTGCTGAGTTTTGACTGACGTGTTTCCACGAGTCACAGCCCTGATGTACTGCAGCTGGCCTTTCTGTCCAATGGGACCAAATGTCACCAGGTGAGCTGCCACAGCTCAGCTTGGACTCAGCTCTCTGGAGCCTGTTCAGCACCCATGCAGGCCCACGGGGAGGCAGCTGGCCAAGTGAAAGCCCTCTTGCTTTGTGCAATTGGCACCATTGCCAGGAGGTGAACTGATGTCGAACAGAATCTCCCAGCCGGGTTTCTGGGAACAGTGTATTGGCTTTTCTCACAGATATGGGACAGCATGCGGCCCGCTTCCTCCGCACTGGGAGAAGCTAGGGGTGCCCTGGCCTGTGCAAGGCCTTCCTGGAACTATGGGCTCGACCACAGAGAAACAGGCACCTGGGAATTCTTAAAGCACGTATCAGTGAAGCTTGGGAACCCCAGGAGTCCCACTCTGAGCCCTTCCCAGCATGCACTGGGAGCAGAGGCTCATGACAGGCAGGGCTTCCTCCTGTGCCCTTCCTTGTCCAACCACCTGATCAGCCTGGGCACAACTACTAATTTCCAGAGCACAAGCCTGGACTCTTGTGGTCCCGGGCACACCGGTTACACATGGGCAGGATGGGAGGCAACTGTCATAAAACTTGCCAGTGTGTACAAAGCTGTCTTTAGTGTCCACCTTGGTCCCTCTGTGAAAGGGGACACTCTGGAGTTCATATTTCCATGTGACACCCCATGAGCAGGAAAGGGGCTTCCCCCTGGCCGCCCCCCAACCGAGAGGAAGGAGGCCAAAGGCGATTTCTGCCGCATCACTGCCCCCAGAGAGAGTTCCGGTAGGAAGGCAGTGGAGGCCTGGAGGGGTCCCCAGCACCCCAGCAGCAGCGGGCGGCAGGCTTGACGGCCAGCTAGGAGCTGGGAAGAGGAAGTGCAAGCAGGCAGGCAGCTTCTGTCGCTCCCGTCACCATCGCGGCTCAGGGGCCTCTACTTCTCTCTCCTTTCGCTTCCTTTTTCTTCTTTTGCTGGGGCAGGCGTCTCCTGGGTCCCTTGCTTGTCCCCCTGCTTACACCCTTGCCACGTCCCCTCCCTACCCGTCACCGGAGACCTTCTGAGGACAGATGGGTACTCCAAGGCCCTGGGTGTGTCCTTCAGAGGCTGTGAGGATGGACATTTCAGCCGAGTTAAGCATGAGGAGAGAGGCCAGCCATCATCATCTGCAGTGGTCTAGGGCGGGGAGGCTCCTACTGGGAATGTTCCAGAACAAGTCCAGCCAGCTGATGACAAAGAAGTGGGGGGAGAGCCTCAGGAAGACAGGGACCAGGGAGATGAGTCCCTGATATTTTGTAGGGGGATATTTTGTAGGGTGTTGGGGTTCTTAGTGAACCCCACAGACAAACCTCTGCCCTGGAGGAAAATGTTCTAGCAGTAGGTCAAGTGGGCATGAGAGTGCTTGAGGGGACAGGAAAGTGTTCGTTGAGGTAGGAGAACATTGTAGAACACCCAGTGTGCACCATGGCCTTTAGCATTTTGAATGCTATGATAGCTGTGTGTACCTGCATGTCCTTCCCAGGGCCTGCCCGCACCTGGCTCTGTCCCCTTCAGCCTGCCATGCTGAGAACAGATAGGGTAGCTGACAGCAGACCCCACCCCGTGGAGGACTTCTGGGGGCACTGGCGAAAATAAAGCACTAGCAGCCCCTCCAGGTCACCAGCACGGAAAGTGGGGCAGCAGCTTCAGGGATCTGTGGGCCTGGGCCTAAGATGGGATGCAGCGGAGACGGCAGGGCAACATCGCCTCACAGTGCCACCAGCCCACAATGCCTGTCCCCGCAGACTGCTCTGATTTCTTAGAAACTACATTACATGAAGGTGGCATTCAGAGAGGGCCAGTTGTCACCTTCGAGAATGTTTCAAGTCAGGTTGATGAGCAACAGGGTCTGGCTCTGTGGCCAGCAAGAGCTTGGAACTGACCCTAGGAGAAGGGACAATGCAGGCCAGTGCAAGAACCTTAGCCAGAACCCTGAGCCAGGAGATGTGTGCCAGGCACTGAAGAGAGAGGGGCAGTGTGGCCTCTTGGACCCCAGGTGACAGTGGGGACAGGAGGGGCATGGGCCATGCTGACAGCACAGCTTGTGAGCTCAGCCCAGGACCCCAGTGCTGGGAACACTGCCCCAGCCTGTGGCATCCAGGATACCCCAACTACCAAGGCCCCAAGCCAGGCCTCCAGGATGGGCCTCTTACGAGCATTCACTGGTTTTCAGGGAGCCTGTTTCCCAGAAGCTGCCTGCACCCTTCCACCTTTGGGGAGACCCTTGTCAAGCCATCTTTTAAAGCCCCAGATCCGAGTAGAGGAAATAGGCTGGAGGACGCTGAATCAACATCAGCTGAAAAACACACATGATGACTTGGGCTGGGCTTCAGACACTCCCAGGGCTGCTCGGGCTGTGCCCAGCAGATGACACTCAAGGCGCACCAGGGCATGGGGTGGGGCCACAGCAGAGGTGGAGGCGTGGGGAGGGAGCAGGCACCACCCCATGCCCTCGGCTGCCCTTTGCTGGGAAGGACTTTGGAATTCAGCCAGGTGCAGTGAGACCATTGGACAGGTTTGAGCAGGGGCCTGAGCATGTGACCCTGGACCAAATGAGGTCACTGGCCTGGCAAGGAGAAGGGTGTGGCCAAGGTCATGGGTACATTAGTGTTGAACTTATGAAATGCACTGAAGGTCCAGGGAAGCTGCGTGCAGCTTTCCCTCTCTGGTGACTTGATACACCGGACAGCAACATCCCAGGCCTGGCCCGGAGGCCCCCACCTGTGGGGCTACATCTGAGCTGACTGTATCCGTCCTCATTAAAACTGTTCAGGGATTCTCAGTATACGTGTTATCCCTATTTCAAAAACCTTTCTGGGATAAAGCTTGAGAGAGAGTGGCTGAGCATCTGTAATCTAGCAGATGCAGCTTTGAGGTGGGCATGGTGGCGCACGCCTATCATCCCAGCACCAGGGAGACTGAGGTAGGAGGATCATGAGTTCAAGGCCAGCCTGGGCTACACAGTGAGGCTCTGACTCAAAAAAAAAAAAAAAAAAAAAAAAAAAACAGAAATAAGAAATATGAAAATAAAAAGATGTAGCTTCACCAAGTCCAGGAAAATCCCAGGTGAATTTCAGATGTGGAGCTAGAAAACTCGGATTCTGTGGGGCCTCTGGCTCACTTTCCTGCACTCTGAAGACTGATTTAGGAGCTGGGTTTGTGCCGTCCACACTCTGGGGGGCTGAAAGGGGTTCCCTTGTAGCCAGGGTGATTCACTGTCGAAGCTGGGCTTTATAGGTCAGTCTCTGTTGCAACTCCTGTGGCCCAGCAGCAGCACGGCCACACCTAATGAATGGCTGCAGCCTTGTGCCAATAAAACTTTATTTACAAAGCTGGCAGAAGGCTAGAGTTAGCCTTCAGGCCAGAGCTGGCTGGCATCTTATCTAAAGCAAGAAGCCAAGTCCCAGGCCTTGGACCTGGAAAACACACCAGCTCTCTTAACATGTTTGCCCCTCACATAAGGGGGGGGGGCTCCTTGGGACCCGTGGATCCCACAGGGAGGGCAGCTGGCTGTGTCTGCAGCTGTCGTCAGGCCGGCTGGCAATGGCCCACCAGAAGCCACCCTTGAGGGCATGTGAGCCGGGCCAGGGCAGAGGGCCCAGTAGCGGGGCAGTTGTGCTGCTCTGGTGTCTCGAAATGGACCAAGCATGGCAAAACTGGGGAATGTCAGGGTGGAGGAAGGCATGGGGTAAGAGAAGCTAGAGGAGCAGGCAGCAGAGATCTGATGGTGACGTAGCTGCGGCATGGGGCTGAGGAGACCCAGCGGCCTGGGCAGGGCAGGTGTGGCATGTGTGGCAATCACCACAAGGACCGTGCAGCCTTGCTGTGCAGGTGGGGGACCAAGGCCAGGGCAGGGTGGGGCGCACAGAGCAGGATGGAGGAGGTGGGGCTGGGGCAGCTGGGGAGGTGGAATAAAGCCAGGCAAGAGCAATGTCAGGGGGCCTTGAGAAGTTTCCAGAAGTGAGAGGTCAGCTGTGTTGGGCGCACCTGAGGGATCAGTGAAGGTGAGGTTAAAGAGGGTCCCAGCCTCAGGATGGGTCTGGGCACGGCAGGAGCTGGCTGCAGCCATAGGAGCTGAGGGACGGAGGCAAGGTCCCTGGATGAACTTGGGGAGAGCTGTGCCATGGAGGCCAGTAATGCCCGGGACCAGGCCCCGTCCCTCCCCACAGGGTGCCACAGACTGTTACTAGGACACCACCCTCCCCACACTCTCCCTGGTTTAATCTTCTCTGGTTTCTACCCGACTGGAATTCAGACCGGGCAGAGACCCAGGGGCCACGGCAGGGCCTGGGGAGGTAGCAGGCGAGAACTAGGCCAGCCGCTTCCTGCATGCAGGTACTATCGCCAAGTCCGAGGCCCAGCCCCGCGAGCCCCCTGCCCATCGCCCCCCGGATATGCACACCCCTCATGTGATGGCACCCAGCCACTGACTGTCTCCTTTCCTCTCCTTGCCTTCCCACCTCCCACCCACCCCCGCCCTGCCCCTCCCCCACCCCTCCAGATCCGGGTGGTGAAAGCATTCCGTAGCTCGCTCTATGAAGGCCTGGAGAAACCGGAATCCAAGAGCTCCATCCATAACTTCATGGTAACGCCCGAGTTCCTGATCAACGACTACACACACAACATCCCGCTCATCGATGACACGGACGTGGATGAGAACGAGGAGCGCCTGCGGGCCGCCCTGCCCCCGTCCCCCAACCAGAACAACAACGCCATAGACAGCGGCATCTACCTGACCACGCATGCCACCAAGTCAGCTACCTCTTCAGCCTTCTCTTCCAGGCCCGGGAGCCCGCTCCACAGCGTGGAGACGTCGCTCTAACCAGGACTCCTCTCGGTATTACGCACATTTGGACTCACACACAGTTGCACACGCACGCGCGCGCGCACACACACACACAGAAGGCAGCCTGCACACTTGCAAAAGAGGGAGACCACTACAGCGGCTGAAGACTTTTCTCGGCATGGCATTTGCAAGAAGCCAAATCCATTCGATAAGGGTACAATCCGTCAGCCTTCTCAGCCCAGACCGGGGCGCAGGGCTGGGGGATGAGGGAGAAGATGAGGCAGAGAAGCTTCTTCCACAAATGGGAGGAAGAAAGGTATGAACACACCTACGCTCACCTTCTATCTACAGATGCGTCTCTCTTACCGGCAGTTACGTCAAGTGGGCACCGCTTGGGCTATGCCACGGGCAGGGCAGCTCTGGGCTAGTTGAGCGCTGTGACACCCTCAGAGGAGCCATCCACCTCACCCAAGGCACGGCAACCACGCCTGTGGGCGGCAGCGGGGGCACTGCCTATACAGGCCACCAGAGGGAGCTGCCTGCAAACATACCCACAACCACAACTGACCACCGCAGTGCACAGGGCCTGCCGCAGTCTGCAGTGTGTGCGTGTGCGTATATATATGTGTGTGCGTGCGTGCGTCTATATGCATATACATATATATACACGATGAGATGCATAGTTCAAGAATAAGGAGCTATTTATTGGCATGATATTTCCATTCCTCTTATCAGGTGTTTTCCTTTTGAGATTCCATTGTTGAATGTAGCAAGGTTTTTTTCAGGGACGCAGGCTGCAAGAACATTTTCCTCCCTAGCCCCATGTCCCTCAAGATCCGCTGCGCCACTGCTGCCACAGCCTGGCTCTGACAAAACACCCAAGGAGGAGGTATGGGGAGGGGTGCCCCAGGCCAGGAGGCCTTACCAGGGGAACATTTGCACTTCGAGATCCTGCATAGAGAGGAGAAAAACCTTGCCATGGAATTATCACTGCAAAGGAAAATACTAAAGTCTTGATGAGCATGGTCCCCTCCCATAGACATGTCTAGTGCAAGCCCTGTGTTGTGGCCCACAGCCTGGAGAACACAAAGCACCCTGTGCAGGGGGCACCCTACCCCGCCCGCCCCACCTGAGCAGAGCATGGACTCCAAACCCTGGTGCCCACGGTCAGTCAAGCAGAGCTGGCCCACCTGGTGCCAGGAGCCTGTTGAGGAAGAGCCCGGAGGTTGCCTGGGGCACAGTCTGGACTCCAGACCCCTGGCAGCCTTGGCAGCCTGGCTGGACTTTCGTGTTTAGCAATGCCAGGAAGTGCTGATGGGACCACCCCAGTGTCTGCTGCACATGGGCAGTGCCACCTGTCGGGAGCTTGCTTCCAAGCCCAGTCATCTCATCCAGAGGACAAACTCGAGCCACAAAGACACAGTCTTGAGTTCAATGCCATTTCTGGCAAAGCCGTGTGGAACAATGCCATTCGGTTGCTGTCATAATCACTCACATCACACCAGTGGCTCTTCTAGGCCCACTGTGGCTGGGTATGGGGCAGCAGGGCTCAGGTTTGCCCAGGTTGGAGAGGCTCTCAGCAGGCACCTCTCCTGGCTGTGTGGGCACCCAGCATGACAAACCTCAGTTTCTCCAGGTTGAGTGATAACTTAAGAGGAAAATGCAAAGAAGGCAGAGGTAGAGGGTCCCAATAGCCACTGTCCTCCTGGCCTCCAGGCGACAGGCCTCTTCTCCATGGATTGCCAAGCCTCTAGGTCTGTTGCAGTAATGCCAGTGACATGGGCAGCACTTTGCCCATGAGGGCCCTTGACCTTCTGAGCTCATGGCCTTCATACTTCATAAAGAGAGGGGCTGGGGCTCAGCTGCAGACTGGTGCCCTCAGGAGCCAGGCCTGTCACCTGCACCCCGCACTGCCTCCCCAGCATCTGCCCAAAGCCAAACAGAAACACGCTTGGTGGCCACCATTCCCACGAAAGCTGCGTCACCCTTGAGCAGCAGTAGTCAAATCTTGGGCAAAAGAATTTCAGTTTGAAAGCAAATCCCACTTTAAAATGCCAGCTACAGATAACTTAAGCCATCCCTTTTTTCTAAAGGGCACATTGAGAATGTCACCCATTTGTAAATTGTTCCCTGATGTCTTTGTTTAAACCGCCACGACCTGAAGGGCACCTCCGTCTCCAGAGGGTCTTCATGTTCCAAATCGTGTGTCAGTCAGAGGGGGTCACCTGCGGACAGCCATGCTCCTGGGCTTCTTCCCATCCTCTGTTGTAGATAGAGCAAACCCTCACTGCCGCCGTGTCCTGTTGCTTGGTGCCAATGTCGCCTGTGTGGTCCCTAGGGTGCCTTTGAGCTGGGCCATGGGGTGCGCAGAGGGGCGCGGTGGACTTGGGATCTTTCGCTCTGGTTCTTGTACAGTCTTCAGGCCGAGGGACTCTCTCACTGGGAGGCCCTCTTTCTAAGCATTATATTATCCGGAATGGCTTGGTCAACTGTGTTCAGTTAATAAATATGTTTTACATTTTTATCTGCCTGTTACAAAGATGAACAAAAAATATCTCAATGAGGAAGACCACAGATGCATACTAATTTAAAGTCTGTAGTTGAATTTCCTAACGTAAAGAATAGACCAAAATTTCTGTGTATAAAAAAAAAATGAAAGGCTCTTACAACCGTGGTCTGGGTAACGTGTGTGATTCATTGTTTGGTGGAGTCTCCTATGGAACCAGAAGTGCCTTCGGGGCTCTGGGCCGAAGCCACGGGCCTGGCACACTGCTGCACTGCTGGGTCCTCTGCAGAGAAGCGGCAAGCCTACCTGTGGGGCATGAGGTGACAGGTGACCCACTTTGGGACTTGCTTGACTGCAGTGAATGTCAGGCCAGTGCCCTCAGATGACACAGTTTAGCACCAAAACACAGCACACTTGTAGACTCATTTTCTTTAACTGAAATAAGTTACACGTCATGAGCCGAGTGTAGAGTACCCCAGTACTCAGGGGGCTGAGGCAGGAGTGCTGCCACCACACCCAGCAACCCTCAGCCATTTCTACATGCCCCACCCAGTGGCATCGAACACCATCGCCACTGTCTACGTTCAAGACTTTAACCAAATTCACAGGGTCCTCAGGAACCAGCTCCCTGCTCTTCCCTGCAGCCCCAGCCTCCAGCCTCCATCCTCAGGTGTGTCTGTGAACTTGGCTGGCCCTAGTGCTGTCACAGCAGGGCCCTCATGGAGGGCATCAGACTGTCCCTTTGTGACTGGCTTGGATGGGTCATTCATGTCGCATGGGTTGGCAGAGGGAGTGACGTATCACATGGGGATGGGCCACCCTTGTTTATCATCACTCCCAGTGGGACACTCAGTGGTTCCCACCTTTGGGCCAGGATCACAGGGCTCCTATGAGCTTGGATGCCCACGTAGCACTGGGCCCCAGCCTGCCACTCACTGGAAACAGTCATTTGCCTAGCAGTGGCCCGGCTAGGTCCCCTGACAACTCTGACCACCATTTACCATGCCCAAGTGCAGGCAAGAGGACCCCAGTCAGGTACCCTCTGTACTCCAAGCCAGAACACAGCCCCAGGCCCTCACTCATTCCCGTGCACCACGTCCTCCTCATTGCATGGGCTGCCACTTCCCAGCTGCACACGCCACCCTTCACAGCTACCAGCACAGGGAAACATGTGCCAGGGCAGCAGCTGAGAAAGGAAATAGGCTCCCCAGACATCCTGGGGCTGCCACGGTGGACTTCGACTGCCAGTGGGAAAGAGCCGAGCAGAGCCGGTCATGGCGGCAACATGCCTGCAATCCTAGCCCTCAGGGGCTGAGCTCGGGGCCAGCCTGCACTACAGGGTGAGCTGTCCTTTCAAAAAACAAAACAACATTTTTTAAAGAACCAGAAATGTCTCCCCTGCTGGGTTGGGGAAGTCCCAGCTCAAGGTGCTGGCGGCAGGGCCGAGGCCCGCATTGCCTGCAGGGCGCAGCCTCAGGCTCAGGGCAAAACAGCAGTGGCTCCAGATCTGTGTCTTGTCTTCTGGTGGCGCCAGCGATGTTTGGCATTCCTTGGCTGGCAGACCTGTCACCCCAGGCTCTGCCTGTCTCCAAGTGGCCCTGCCCTCCCCTCACCATCTCATGATGCCAGCCTTGTCTTAACTGGGTAATGTGCATCAAGACCCTATTTACAAATACGGTCCCCTCTGAAGGCTGCAGAGCTTAGGATATGGACAGATGTTTTTCAGGGGACACAATTCAGGGCACCAGTCTGGCAGGAACTGGCCTCCCCCACCACCACCATGTGCAGGTCCCACCCCAGGTTCGGAGCCGCAGGTTCCTGATCCCTTACTGCAGTCGCACTGCTAACCTTTCGAAACCTGAAATAAAGGAGATGCAAATGTTTGTCTTTACTCTCTTTTTATTTTTTGCAAAAGCCTTGGTAACAGGAATCAGGAACCGAGGAAACAAAAAGCAAAAACCAGAGGCGACAAAATAAAACAACAGCTAAATAGAACCCCCAACCCTGTAAACAATGACTTGAATTTCACAGCCCACAGAACAAGGCCTGGTGCGCACTGTCCCAAGGCCCGGACAGGCATGGGCTGGCTGTCGTTATCAGGAAAACCACAGGCAGGCCCAGCAACAAGCACTGAGCCGACAGGCCCTGCAGCCAGTACACAAATAACACCAGGGTCCCGGGGGCAGTGTGACAGGGAGGGCCAGGGAGGGATTTAAAATAGCAGTCATCAGGCACAACCGCTCCATTCACGAAGTGGGAACTAATCCCAGAGAGGAACTTGCCTCACACACAATCGCCATGAAAGAAAACATAGAGTTCTGCGGGGCTGTGGGCTCTCAGCCAGGGTAGGGGTGCTCGCCCCAATCCCTCTCTTGGCTGCTACATCCTGGGGAGGCATAGGCGGGACCAGAGGCAGAAGACACCAAGCCCTTCCAGGCCTTCCAAAGGCGGAGACCTCACACTTGGTAGCCCAAGGAAGGTCACATCAGTATCCTGGCACAAGCCCGATGGGACTCGGGGAAGTGACAGGCAGTGATAGGCAACTAAGGTGAGGCGGCCAGAAGGAGAAGATCTGCCACCAAGGTCCATTCTAAGTGGCAGAAGGCACAGGCGGCAGCAGGGCAAGGTCTGCCCTGAGCCCTGCCTGCCGGGACCCGGCTCTCAGCCTCCATCACTGCGCTCCAGGAGCTGTGGGTGTCAGATAGACAGGCGTGGAGGCCGCATGGTGGAAAGTGCCTCTGGGGCATGCGAACACTAAGCTGGGATGGTTCCAGCCACACACGGATGGGCCCGACCCAGTCTCCCGTGGGAAGCGACGCCTGCACTGGCTGTGTCCTGCCCAACCTTGCACAGCACGCAGGGTACTGCATCTTGGAGTCTGCCTGGACTCCCTTTAGGACCTCCGCTGCCCTGGGATGGTGCCCGCCAGCCTCCTAAGGCCACTCAGCTCCAGCACTCCTCCAGGAATGGTGACAAGGACCCAGCGCCTTCCAAAGGCAATCGCATCTCACAGGGCAGCGCGGGTTTCAGAGTCACACAAAAGGGTCTGCTGATTTGCGTCACCTTTTATTACACAAAATAAAATGCCATCTATAGTGCGAGACACACTTTCTATAAATCTGGCTTAAAAACCCCTAGGGGTTCAGTCCCACCTGTCCTCCAACCTCCCTGCCAGTGACATCATGCCAGCGTCCTCTCAAAGGACAAACGCAGAAGCGGCCACCCGGGCAGCGGCACACTGTGTGTTCCCTGCCTGCCCACCAGAGGTGCGGCTCCCGGCATTATGGGGACCACGGCTGCTAGGGACAGTCACAGCAGCAGCGTGTCATCGCCTCCAGCAGTACAACCAGTCCTTCCAGCTGGTCCTCTGGGGACCGGCCGTCACAGCAACATGGTGGCACCGTCCCCAGGCAGCCGGCCATCCTGGGCTTCTCTTTGGGCAGGCCTGGGCCAGGGCCTTAGGGGATCTCTGTGTCCATGGAATAAATCTGAATGAGATCAGACACAATATTATCAATGATTGGCTTGGTAAGGTCGTCACTAAACACCTGGGGAGGAGAAGGAAAACAGGCTCCGATTAGACGCCTCTGTGTTCCACCAGCGCCACCACCAGCACAGTTCGGCATGTCCCAAGCAGGTGGGGACATGGGGACTCCCACCTGCTGGACTGGTCAGAGACTTCACAAGGCAGAGACCACTCCAGATGGACAGGACAGAGGACCTAGCTAAGCACGGTCACACAGGAATGGGTGACAGACGGCCCAAGCCACAGGCTCCTGCCTCCTCCATGGTGCTTCTGTCAAGCTCAAGGTCTCTAAGAGTGATGCCGAAGGACACAGGTGTCCAAGAGGACCTGGGCCCAGCCTGGCCAGCTCTCGAGAGGCATCTAGACCACACATGTCCTTGGGCACCAGCTCCCAGGCCCGGGCCACAGGCTGAGCCTCCTAGACATCCCAGGCAAGGAGTGCTAAGTCCCTGAAGACTCTGCCTGGTGAAAGTACCTTGCTTTTTTCACTGGGTCTAGGGTCCTGCCAGGCAGTCTATGCTGGCGCCACACACAAGTAGGCACCTTGGGCAACATGGTGCCAGCTGGACCTCTGGGTGGCTAGGACCCAAGCCACCAGTGTCAGCCACTCGATGCTTCAAGCCTACGCCACCCCCCTGTTAAGAACCCCCAGACATGAGGCTTGAGGGTCTCCTGGGTAACAAGGTCCCGCACAAGCCGTCTGCACCCCACCAGGCCCCTGGACACTCCCGCTGACCTCTCCTGGCTCCTGACTCAGACACCTGCACCACGGCGTCCTTTTGTTAACGGTCTGTGGAGTCCAGGAGTCCCCGGTGAGTGAGGTGGTGCTGCTTTGGGGAACTCCCCCCACCTACAACAAGAGGAAGTAAAGGGCGAAGCAGCAATCCTGCGGCCAGGGTGGCTGCCCAGGGGATCAAGGCACCTACAAAGTTAAGCCCACGGGCAAGACCTGGACCTTAGTCTGCCCCACCTAAATCTCCTAAGAAAGGAGGTCCCTCCGCAGCCCCCACCTGTGTGTCCTGGGGACCCCGTGCTGAGACGTGACCATTCCAAAGCGCTAGAAATAAAACAAAAGCCAAGTGTTGATAGCCAAAGAGGAGCAGCTCCTCGAATGTACGCAGATGAGTAGATGAATCCTGTGTGGATGGACCATCCCTGCGCCGCCTGTTACAGCCTTCTCAAGGAAGGGACAGCTGGGGAAAGGGGCACGTGCCTGTCATCCAGGATTTGGGAGGCTGAGGCAGGAGGACCTCTGTGAGTTCCAGGCAAGCCTGGGCTACACAGTGAGTTCAAGGCCAGCCTGAACTACACAGTGAGGCCAAACTAATCGATCAATCAATGAATCCAAAAAGAAGAACACACTGACACACAGGACAATCACAGATCCACAGGGGCCACACAGAGCCATGGAGAACCAGTGTCTCCCGGGACAGGGCTTGGTCACACGGGGGAATTCTGCAGATGGGTGGGGATGCATGGCAATGGCTGGACTGTGCGCTCTACAGTTTCTCCCCTGTACCCGGCCCTCCCCATTGTTGGAAACAGCACAGGGGGCCCCAGGTGCACTTCTGCACTCAGAGCCTTCCGGAACTCTGTGCCCACTGCTGGCACTGCTGCCCCCACTCATCTTGCAGCCAGAGATGTACCTCCTGAAGCCCAAACCCACAGGGGCCTATGTGCAGGCTGGCTGGTAGCTGGGAAGCGCTGGGCTCTCAGGCTGAAGGGACAGGAGGCAGTGACTGCAAGAAGCAACAGCTGAGAGCGCGTGAGAAGTGTTTCCAGCATCCGATACACCAGACATGGTGCCGCACACCCGTCATCCCAGCACTCGGCAGGCTGAAGCAGGATGACTGGCTATCTGCCTGGGCTACATAGTGAGTTCAAGGCCAGACTATGCAGGAAGACCCTGTCTCAAAATACAAAACAAAACACACACGTGCACAAAGCATCAGCCATGAACTTCCCAGTAGGGTGCAGCTGAGGCCCCCCCAGGATGGCTTATCCAAGGTGGCTGACCTTGTACCCCACTGCTCAAAAAGGTTCTGGATTCTGTAAGGTCCTGTTACACGCAGCCCTGAGCCATCCCAAAAAGGTGACATTGAGTTTTATGGTCTTTAAGAAGAGCTGGGCAAAAAGTCTGATATGGTGGCGCACTCTTATAATCCTAGTAATCACGAGGCTGAGGCAGGAGAATCATTGCAAGTTCAACACCAGCCTGAACAAAGTGAGCCCAAGGCCAGCCTGAACTGCATAGGGAGACTCTGTCTCAAAGAGACAAAAGAAGAGGAGGAGGAGGAGGAGATTGAAGAACAGCCACGTGAGTACCCAGCTGCCAACCAGAAAGGGCAACTTCTTCCCAGGCTGAGCAGTGCTAGGGCCACTTCCAGCTGCACCAGGCCAGTGCCACTGGTACTCCCCTTGGGAGACTCCAGCATGGGATGCAGAGGCGGCGCTGCCTATCAAGTGCCATTCACAGGCTAGGGAAGAAAGATGGCACAGGAAAACAGAAGCCCCAGCAGACAGCAGGAACAAGGGTGACGTTAGAGCGGGGCATGTGGGCTGGGGATTTAGCTCAGTGGCATATGCACCTGTCTTGCAAGCAGGCAGTCGTGAGTTTGATCCCAAGTACCGATAAAAAGGAAAAAGACAAAAAAAAAAAAAAGAAAAAGAAAAAGAAATACAAATGACCTTTATTTTTGGATCTAAAGATCTTAGCAGAAAAAAAAAAAAAGAGCAGGGCACGTGAGGAGCAGGACCACCACGCTCCCCAGATGTCCTCAGCAGGCTGAGGCCGCAGCCCCTTGGCACAGTACTGTCTGCGCACGCAGCTGCCCTCATCTCACACAAACTCAGGGCCACATCTGGCTGGGGGCCTGCAGCCACGGCTGTGCTGAATCAGAGATACCCCAGTGCCACCTGTGTGCCTGACCTAGATAGGATGGGATGGGAAAGAAAGGAGAAAGAAAGATCAGGTCTCCTGTAGAGGACAAGTAGGCCACAGAAGAAGGTGCCAAGAAAATGTGACCTTTCTGCAGAGCAGCGCCCCACCAGCCACAGAGCTCCTCTGAGACACATTTCAATGTATTGTCTACCAAGGGCACGTAGGTTGGGTAGGTCTGGGTGTGCTCACAAACTTAACATCCACCCACCCACCATCTACCTCATCCAAACCTGCACCCACCCACCCACCATCTACCTCACCCATCCACCCACTACCTACCTACCATCTAGCTCATCCATCCATCTACCCTTCCATCATCTATCTCACCACCTACCCTCTATCCATCCCTATCTCCCCTCTTCCATCCATCCTTGTCAAATGGCACCCCATCTATGCACCTCTCAGTTGATAACATCCCCACTCAATTCATTAAGTGAATGACTCAGTGATGTCTTGGGTCAGTTCAGTGGTTTGCAATAAGGGGTGACCTGGTCATGTCTGGGTGGAGGCCAGGGCTGCTGCTCCACACACTGCAAGTAATATCTGGCTCTAGGGCCACAGTGGATGTTGATGGGGAAATCAGGCCCCAGCCTACTCAGATGGGGCGTCGCCAAACCATCAGCATTCCCTAGTGGCTGGCAGCCGACTGTGCAGATGACTAAAAGGAACTTCGAGTGCCACGCTGGGGTCTGTGAAAGGGAAGGGGCAATGCAGGGCCCAGGGTACCGCACCGCCACCTCACCTGCCACCACGGCTTCTCAGCCTCAGCCTCAGCAGGCACCTCAACTCCGTAGACCTGCAGAGCCAGGTAGAGCACGGCCACGGCCAGGTGCTGTGCCCGGAAACGGAGACACAGCCCGCCATGGTAGCTGTCCCGCAGCAGGGCCCAGGCTGTGACAGAGATGGGAGTCCGCTGCCAGCTGTAACGGTTCAGCCAGTTCTTGAGGGAAACCAGGTAGTGGAGCAGGTACTGCAAAGACACGCATGTCAACCAGGGCAACACCTTGCTTGGCTCCACCTGCCCCTGCTTGCCGCAGGCATGCACATCCGGGTCACTGAGGAAAAAGCCCTGCCTCCCTCTCTCAGCAACTGCACCGCCTCCTGATGGGCCAGGATGCACTGGGCTCAGTCCACCCTAGGGCCTTTGCACTTTGGCTACCTTTGCCTGAAACCATCCGCCACCCAAGGGCCCACACCTGCCACTCCCATTCTCCAGGCCAGAGCCAGGGAAACCCACTCAGGCCATCCTTGCTTTGTGATGGGATGGCAGAGGGGTTTACTGTACAAGAAGAAAACCCGGGAACGTTAACAAAGAAAGGGCTATTCTGCGCCAGAGTTCACCAGTGTACAGCGCTGTTTTCATCACAGCCCTGCCCCCAGCACTCTCAAAATAATAATGACAATAACACTAACTAGCCTGCATTAGTGACACGCTAACCTCACCAGGAAACAACCCCCATTCTCCCTCTGTCTATAACATGTCAATTCCCACTTCTTTAACATCTTTTTGGTACCAGGGATCAAACTCACAAGCTCGTGGCTTGCCAGGCAGGGGCTTATGCCATTGAGCTAAATCCCCAGCCCACTTCCCACTTCTAAACCCACATGTGGCCCATCCACGTTTCTTTTAAGCTGAGGCCTGGGGCTCTGACTGCTGCTGGGAACATGTGTCCACCTCCCGTGCATGGGCAGGTAGGGCAGGGGCACCCAGCATGCAACTAGAAATCCACGATCCCAAACAACCAACTTTCCCAGGCCCCCAACTATGTAGGACGAGGAGGGGGTGGGGTGGAGTGGTAGTATAGCACTTGCCTAGCACACATGAGGCCCCAGGTTCAGCAACCCCCAAAAAAATGTAAGCCAGGTGTGATGGCACATACCTGTCACTGCAGTACTCTGGGGACTGAAGCAGAAGGATCACTATGAGGGCAGCCTGGGCTACATAGTGACATTTTTTGTCTAGTCTTGCCTTGTTCAGGTTGGCCTTGAGTTCACGATGTAGCTGGGGCTGACCTCAAACTCACAGTGATCCATTTTCCTCAGCCTCCCAAGTGTTGAATTACACATGTGCATCACCATTCCCAGTTATATAGTGATTTCAAGGTCAGCCTGGACTACATAGTGAGACCGTTTCTCAAAAAAAAAAAAAAAAAAAGGAGAAAGAAAAAAAAATACACACCCATACATGCATATACAAGTTTTTTGGTTCTGCATTAAATATTTTAAAAAGCCTACTCTGCTTTGTCTTATAAATGAAGGACCAGACGATATATCAGACGATATATAGGTTTTCTTCCTTTAACACATCTCTATGTCCATGGCGGGGCCCACTCCCCCACACACAGGTCTAATGGAATGCTGCCAGGATGGCCATCCTTCCCACAATCCCTCTGGCCCAGGCCCCATGGTGGCCACCATGGGAAATCCTTCTGCAGAACAGTGAACACCCCGACCTGCCTCGAGGCGCTGCTTTCAGGACTAGACAGTGGCAAGAGGTTTCTCTAGTTGGTACCAAGGAGCTAAAGTGATAGTAGGCCTGCCTGCAGCCTCTCCAGGACCCCAGCAGGGCAGTGGGTTCAGCCTGAGACTCACACATGCGCAGAGCATGGGCAGCACCTATCTAGGCGGGAGCCCGTGCAGACAATGAGCCGTGCGTGTGTGCCGAGGAAGGGCCTCACAAAGGGCAGGGGCGGCAGACTCCCAGCAACTCAGGTCCCAGTCCAGGCTCAAGGCTGGCCTGGGCAAGTCCACGTCACAGTGGCCAACGCTCTTTCCATCTGCCACCGGGATGGTGACAAGGATTCACTGTGACTGCTGTAGGGACATCAAAGGCCAGGCCAGAGGTATCAGGAGTCTAGCACAAGAAGGGCCCTTGGGTGGCTGGCGTTCTCCTGCACCGGCACAGTGGCCAACACAATACACACGAAGCCAGCATCCTGGCTTTGACCTGCCAGAGTCGCCTCACTGATGGTGCTGGACAAAGGGGACAGGGGTCACTTTGGGTTATTCCTTCCAGCTGCATGGGGATTCAGTGTTACCTCCTAAAGAGTCCCTCGAAAGAGAACAGTGGTCCTAGCCTACAGCCCAGCCCTCAGCCACTGTCTGAATGGCCTCCCGAGACCTCCACGGCCCAGAAGTGAAAATGGTATCACTGAACTCAGTGCGTCAGCTACTCTCATGGGGAGAGCTGGATAGAATGGCACCGCCTAGGGACAACGATGTGGCAGGAAGCCCCTGACCTAGCCCAGCTCGTGGCGACAGACAGCAAGCAGAATGAGACCATTTGCAAGAAAAGGGATGAACACAGAGAGGCTCGAGTTAGGTATAAATGCCCGGCTCAGGCAAACAACTCTCTATATGGACTCAAAACAAATTAAAACACAAAATTCCAGGCTGGGAAAGCAGAACAGAGGCTACCACAGAAGAAGACAGGGCTGGGGGAGGCGGGAAGAGGAAGGGCTGTAGCGGAGGAAGGACCAAGCGCATCCCGTCACGTCCACATGGGCAAGCCCGAGGCCACTAGCCTGCAAAGCCCACTCACATCCAAGAGAAAGGCAGGCGGGAAGAGGCTGCACCCAAGGGCCGGAGGAGCCCAGCACGGGCAGGAGGCGGCTGATTCAGCTGCTCGAGGCTCTGCTCCTGCGGCACTAGCAGGGAAGGGCTTTGGGACAGAGCACAGGGCCAACTCGGAGCCCAGGCAGCACTGGCAGCAGCGCTGGGGACGTACCTTGTGAGGGTGCTGGAAGGATACCTGGAAGCGCAGGACTCGCAGCACCAGGAGCTCACACTGCACGATGCTGTCCCGCAGCTCCCAGAAGCGTGAGTCCAGCTCCAGAGGCTCGCTGCTTGGGTTAAAGTACCTGCGAGAGGGACGGTGATGCTTCTGGCACAGCCAGGGAGAAGGGCGCCCCTGTCGGGCTGTGGTGCCCACGTACAGTCCACAGCGTCCCTCGGGAGGTGCACTCCTTATCTACATGACTAGGTGTACCACGGAGACTGTGAGCAACTGAGGCAAGAGGCTGGCTCTCGTTTTAGCCAGACAGGACTGTCTGCAATCACGCAACAAGCTGCCAAGTGCTGCCGGCGATTGAGCTGCGCACCGAGAGCCCCACCTGCCTAGGCCAGGATGTTTATCCTGAAAGCCAAAGACTTCTCAGCTTTCCATTTCCTTCCCGCCAGGCCTTTCTGCCCTTGCTCTGTGTTGGTGACACTTCTAAACAAGCTGCCCCAAACATCCGGGAACAGGGTTCGAAGGACACACTCAGCACCCCGCCAGTGACTCACCCTCCTGACGAGCTGCTCCCCATGCCTACTCCTAATTAGGGTGCCACACAACTCCCCCTCCTGCGGCACCTCCCTGCTGGGGCCAGGCAATTAGCACAGGACTGCAGCCGCCCTCCCCAGGTGCACACGGGTTTCCATCCCAACCTCTCCCTGGAGAGCACAAACCCGCCAGGTGGATGGGGTGGGCAGCGCTGTTTCGCCACCCGATTGATAATAAAGAAGCAGAACGAAATGGCTTTTTTCCTGATGAGTTCCTGGAAAGGTTCATGACACGTGCTACCTGGGAACTTTCTGTGAACCTCTCGGCTGTCTCCCAGGCCCCTGGCCCTGGAGGCTGGACTCCTGCCTCCTTTGCCAGCAGCGGCGCCACTATGCAGCCCACAGCCCACGGCAGCTCGTGGGAAGTGGGGAATGAGCTTCTCATGTCTGCTAAATACAACGGCTGCCCAGCTGGGAGTGTGTGCTCTGGACAGCTCTCCCAACAGAACTCTGCAGCTCCCTCTGCTCAGACCTGATCTCTGCCCCAGGAGGCCTTGCAAGCTTCCCACCCACACAGTCCGAGGCTCCTGACCCCAGGCTCCTTCCCACCTTTGTGGCCAGCACTTTGGCCCCTGGTCAAGCCAATGCAGCTGCCTCCCACTGGCACCAGAGGCCGGGGCCCTGGGGATGTCAGTACCTGTTGGACACGTTGATGATGTCTCGGGTCCGCAGGTGCTGCTCCTCTACTTTGCCAGCCAGGTAAATGGCAGACATGGCGACCAGGTAAGGGTCATACGCATCCAGGTTGATCTCACAGAAGAATTTATGGTAAATGGTGCACGCGGTGGCAATGGGAATGGAGTGCATCCCAAGCTTGACACCTGCAGAGAGATGGGAGAGTTCTTCAGCCCAGCCCTCCCCACCTGCTGTGCTGGGGACAGGGATGCAAGTCCCACCCAGATCAGAGCAGGCGCCTCCCAGGCTCCGGGGTACTGGCAAGGGCCGAGGTCAGTGTTCAAATCCAGGCACCCTTGCAGGAGGCAAGGAACTAGATGCTGCAGGGTGTGCATTACCCCACAAGCAAGGATGTGGGTACCACTTGGTCACCCCAGGGCCTGTCAACTTGTAAACCAGAGCCAAGAAAGGACCATCCACTGCCACATATCTATTTCGCAGAAAAGGTGACAAAAGCAAGCAGGTGACTGCTGAAGAAGGCAACCATGGACAGAGTGAAGAAAAAGCACACTGAGCCACGGCTAGGCCCCAGAAAAGGAGACCCACACATCAAGAAGTGAGTGGGCCTTGGAACCCACAGCGTGCAGAGTGCTACCTTTCAGGGCTCAGAGCTTGCCAGCACCACTCCAGCCCTGGACAGGTTCGTAGAATCACTGCACGGAGCCAGAGGTGGCGGTACACACCTATCATCCCAGTACTCAGGAGGCTGAGGTAGGAGAGTCACTTCAAGTTTGAGGCTAGCCCGGGCTAATACATGATGAGTGCAAGTCTGCACTACTTGTTTCAAAAACGCAAAACAAAGGGAAAAGGAAGAGAAACATCATGCTGGGTCACAGAACTAAAACCAGTTCCAAAGACCAGGGTTAACCAGACAAAGTTAAATGACATCCTATAGACTAGCAGAAGGTGGAAATCAGTCAACAAGTAACCCTTCAGGTTGTCTCTTCTACCTAAGTGGTGCCCTGTGGCTACTGTAACAGCTGAAAGAGCCCTGGATCTCTGAGCAGAAGCCCCCTTTGGGGGTGAAGTTGAGATGCCAACAGGCTTCGTCCTGCAGGCTCCCTAACACAATCCATGTCCCTTCCTTTTAGAGCCCCTAGGGGTGGCTTCTTCCCTATCCTAAGCATGCTTCTGTCACCCCCTGGCCTCCTCCTGCCTGTGGCTCCTGTCACCTCCCTCCTTTGTGAACAGGCATGGTGACAATGGGCCCGCCCCAATTATCTAGGATAATCGCATCTGCAGCCTGTTTTGCTATATAAGAGCCCACTCCAATGTTCCAGGGATTGGACAGGGCATCTTCAACTACAAACGGCAAGGTCAAATGGTGTAAGTTTCTTTAAGAAGTCCTTCAAGAGCTGGGTGTAGTGCGCATGCCTGCAGTCACAACACTCGGGAGGCTGAGGCAGGAGAACCTCTGTGAGTTTGAGGTTAGCCTGGGGTAGTGAGTTTAAGATCAGTCTGAACTAGTAAACCACAACCTGTCTCAAAACGAAGAAGTGATGCCTAGAGCTTTTAGTATGTCAAGGTCTACACATTAGGACCCTTCATTCCAGAAAGGTCCAGATTAAGGAAGTGCTGCTGACATGACCCTCGGAGTAGACAGATGGTAGCACTGGAGGTCCGTCCAGACCGCGCCCCGGCTTCCGGCTTGCTTGCCCTTCAGTGCAATCGGATCTCCGGACTGCCTCGTGGCTGGCTGAAGGCCAGCGCGTCAGGCAGGACGGGAAGGCAGACGCCCCAGCCCTGAGCTGGGCATCCCCGCCTCTGCCCAGGCCTCTCCCGGGCAGCGGTTACCTGCCTCCATGATGAACCTTGTTACACGAAAGTGCACCCTCTCCACCAGCGCTGGCCGGCCTTCAGCCCCAGACACCGCGATTCCTCTGCAGCTCTCCGGGCCCACGGCCTCCATGAGGCCTCGCCCCGCGGCCCAAAAGCTCCTCGGGAGGGGGAAGCGCCCCCGGCGCGCCGAGGCCGGCTCCGGGGGTCCTCGCGGCGGGCGCGGCGGCCCCGCCCTGCTCCGCAGGCCCCGCCCCCCCGTCGGGCGAGTGCGGCTGCGCAACGGAAGGAGGCCCGGCTGAGCGTGGTCGGCGCAGGCGCGGGCGCAGGCGCAGAGGCCCACGGCGCGAGAGCCGGGCTTGTGTGCGCCTGCTCACCTTCGGAACCCGAACACTCCGCCTCTTGGAAATTTACGCCCCGCCTCCGGGAAACTCACACCCGGATCTGACTCCCAAGGTTGAGCCAGGGAGCAGATTGCCCCGCCCCTGGGAATCCCAGACTCGCTCCCCGCCCCAGCAGAAACTGACTGCTCAAACTGAGGGCGGTGCGAAGATAGATCCCTTTGGCGACTTAGGTGTCATGGCCTTGTGAATGGGCAGTTAGCACTAATGAGAGACGTTAGTATTGGTAAAACCCAATCCAGATTTTCAAACCTGTCCGAACATGCATACCGATGAAACCTGAAGGAAGTGCTGTGTGGAAGGCGAAGAGAGCCTTTTCTAATGAAGACATTAAGGGTATCCAGGTGAATCTAACAGATTTAAACCTGGCATCCAGTAGGAGCTTCATAAATGTTTGCTGAATGAACGCTGAGATGTCAGACCCACGCACTCCTCCCATATTTCATTCGTGTCTTCCACAAACAAGAAATTGGGTATCAGGTATTAGGGACATAGAGCACCAAAGGGACTCCTAAGCTAGTGACAGTGGCGCGGGTCATTCTGACAGTCAGAAAATTGTTAACGATTTGAGGTCACTGGAAATAAGAAGAGGTAAAGCCCTCCTGTGGGGTGACTTGGAAATCTCCACCTCCTACCTCCCCATCTGTCCAGCTTCCTCCCATTCCTCAGCACCCCACACCTCCCTGGCGTGCTCCCCAAGTCCTGTCCCCTTTCCAGCTGGTTAATGTCCTAGGACTGCTGAGACAAAACAAGTGACTAAAGACAACAGGGATAGGAAAAGGGACCGGGTTTCTTGTAAGCGTCAGAGCACCGCTGACCAGCACACTGCAAAAGCACTGGGACGGAAAAAGTGATTTTGAAGGTGATCAGGACCAAGCAGGCGGTCATTTAAAGGGTTAGATATTCTTTGCAGGTTTTTTCTTTTGCCTCAATCTTCTTGTATTTTTTAAAAATACTTCTTTCATAATGTGGTATCCAAAAGGAAAATGAGAACTGGCACCCCTGTCTTCTCTGAAGCGTGGTAACTTGAATCCCAAGGGTCAGCCTTCATCACTGTTTATTTTCCTGGTGCTGGTTTCAGTGATCAAACCTCAGCTCCCTCACCGTGTCCTGGCCTTTCTAAAAGTGATGCGCATGCATAGAGAAACCATCTTTTTCAGAACTGTGCCTTTTCAGGTTGTGATGAGTACAATCAACCAATGCAATTGTTCTTAATGACTTTCCACTTGGCCCTGTACTTGGGCTGAGAACTGCTTTGCTCCAGGACCATGACTTCCAGTGGAAGTTTTTTAGAGAACCAAACCGTGGGAAAAAGGACCTTTCCTTAACTTGAAGTTTCATGTCTAGGGGTCCGGCCCAAAAGAAGAGGAAGATCGGTTTTGAAGTGAAGATGACAGGTGTGGTGAGACCAGGGACTAAGTACAAAATTGGCTTCACTCAGGAGACAGAATTTTAATTTAAGACTTAAAAAAACTTGGCAGAAGATCCCAGAAGCGGTCTAATTTTCATTAGCAATTAATAGAGTAACTCATGCAGAAGTCTAGACTGCATAACACTAATGGTAATTTTATTTTTACTTTCAGGCTCAGGGTCTGGGTTTTAAATGAACTTTGCATCAGTGCCATTAAAATAAACAATATTTGTAAAAACCATAAAAATAAATCATATACATAATAGATAGATAGATAGATATGTTGGAGCTGTTGGAGCTGAATACATGTGCAGGGCTGTGGCTTGGCCCAGACATGGCTGAACTGAGAACGAGGAGATCCCTGGGAGGGGGACAAGACAGGCCACAGCTGAGGCCACCTGGAGACTTTCTCCTAGGATAGTTTTCCTTAGTTAGCATCATCTGTTGCTTGGAGGGGTATTTGATCCCCTCCCAAGATCCTGTTCAGGTTTCCTGCATTTTCCACTCTAACCTCTTCCTTGTTTAAATAACTAAAGGTGCCCAGAGATACTGTCTGTCTCAGCCACCAGAATTAATACTCTGCAGAGGGTTTTGGGCCTCCTGGAGCCCTAAAGATCAGACCACATGTCTCATTCATTTGGGCCTTGTTGTGCACTCATTTGGGAGATTTGGGATCTAGGCACAGACCCATATTTACATTTTTTTGAGGCGGGGTCTCACTATGTATTTCAGGCTGGCTTTGAACTCGCTGTGTAACCCAGGCTGCCCTCCAATTCACAGTGATCCTCTTGCCTCAGCCTCCTGAGGGCTGAGATTACAAGCATGTGCCACCACATATGACAAAAATAAATTTTTAAAAGACAACAGAAATGCACCCTGTCTCAGTGCTGGTGGCCAGAGCAGTGCTTCCTGCAGCCCTTCCCTGCCCTTCCAGCTTCTCGTAGCCTCATTCTCCTTTGGTTTGTGACTGCATGATGCCACATGCATGTCTCCACACCCCACCTTTGCTTGGCCTTCTCCTCAATGTGTGACTCTGGATTCTCTGTCTCCTCAAAGGACACCGTTACTGGATTAGCATCGCTCTGGTGACCCAGGACGAACTCACATCCACACCCCAATATTGGCTGCATCTACAAAGATCCTTTGCCACATCAGGTCTCATTCTCTGAGTCTGGGATTCGGAAGCAGATATGTTTTGAGGAGCTTGCATTCAGCCCATGACAGAAGCCACCCAAGTGAGCTTCCTGAACTTGAAACCTGAGCTACTCTGCACTCCCTAACACCAGGGCACCTCCATTTCCGGAGAAAGCCTAAGGCTTCAGCCTAACATGCCAGTCCTCTCCACCTGCCAGCCTCACGTCTCCTGGCTCAGTGTTGCTGCCCCCCACCCTCCTCCGCAGTGACTTGGGGGGGTGTGTGTGTGCAGCCCCTGTCCTGCCTCGAGCACCCTTGTGACTGTCTGCTGTGAGCTGAGAGCCACCCCACACCACCCCCAGCCTTGGGAAACCAGGTTGCTGCCTCTTGGCCTCCATATGTACTATACATGAACACACACATATCATGCATCTGTCCTGCGCAGCACAGATGTGTGTACACACATGCTTCCTGCACCTCAGTGGCGCTACCCTCCAGCCCCTGGCCTCCTGTGCTGTTCGCCGGTTAAACGGCACTGCATGAACCCCTCCTTCTCCCTGGGGTCTCTTGTGGTGTGAGGAGCCCAGGATCCACAAGAAATAGGTGCCTGCAAATGTGAGTCAAGGGAATGACTCGGTGAGCACATCAGTGTTTAAAACCCTGGGTCACAGGGCTCTCTCCTGGCAAGCAGCCCTGGCACAGTGGTTGAGAAATGAATAATCCAGCAGCCATCAATTGGAGCTGGCAGACCTCGGGGCAGCGCCCCCTGTCCCACTGCAGGCCACACCCACCGTGAGAGTACTCACCAGACCATTGCCAGCACTATCCCTCATCATCCTGGCCCCCACCCTGGGCTCACCCGGTGAGTTCCTGAAAGATCCAGCACAGAGAAGCTGGGACACAGGACCTGCCACTAAACTGAGGGGAGCAGAGGTTTCAGTGCACAGTCGGCTGCTCCAAGGCAGAAGGGCCTGGCGAGGGAGAGCTGCTCGCCCCATGGCAGCCGGGAAGCAGTGGCCAGGGAGGAACAGGAGCAAGAATAGACCCTTCCAGGTCACCTGGTGGCCACCTCCACCCACCTCCTCCCCTGACAGCACGCCAGCCATCACCTCGTCCGTGGAAGGCCCCATCGTTGGGTGCTGTGGCCCAGCATCCGATCGACTCCCACACGCAGGAGAGCTTTGCACCATCCAAGATCTAAACCACAACAGCGCCTTTGCTCACAGAGGGCAGGCGGAGCCCAGCAGGGCCATAGGAGTGCCTGGCCACCTCTGCCGCCATCCTCCCCAGAGGCCTTCAAGGGAGGAAACTGGCTGCAGCCCAGTGTCACCTCACGCTTCAGAAAGCTCTGTCCAGCCTGGCCATGCCCTGGTGCGGCTCTGCAGCCTGCTGGTCCTGTCTCCTGCCCTTATCACTCTGTCTCTAAAGCCACAGTGAGGGCTGCTGGGTTCTCCAGTGGCCTTGCTGCAAGTTTGTGAAGTCTGTTCTGCTCCCCACAAAAGCTCATTTTGGAGGGATGGAAATTTCCTGTCCTCTAGCGGGGAGGGTGCAACAGCACCCAAGTCAGGTTTCAGACAGGGTCTGTCTGTCTCATTGCTGCAGAGAGACCCCAACACACTGGGCCCTGAACCCCACTGTTTTCTCTGTAGTGGTTCCAGACCCCTGCTCAGCTGGGCCAGCCCCTGCCCCCTGTCACCTCCTGTGTTCCGTAGCCTACCACCTGCAACCCAGACGCACACATCTCCATCTCAGCTCAGCCAGACCCAGCCAGAGGCTGGGAACCTGGCCGCCACCAACTGTGACCGCCAGCACACAGGGTCTCCTTCAGCAGCCTCCCTCTTCTCCCCAGCCCATCCATGCTCCAAACAGAGCGACCTTTGTCAAGCCAACATCGCTTCTAGCTCACAGCAGCAGTGCCAGCTGGGCACCTGGCAGTGTGGCTCCCTTTTTGCAAGGAGCCTCCCAGAAGTGTCCTCACTGCTGGGAACACCAGACCAGCAGGCTTGAACTTGGTGCCTCTGCGGCCTGAGGTTTGTGAAAAGGAGCTCCGCCAAGAAACTTCCAGCATACGCTGTGAGCACACACAAGGTCACTTACAGGAGCAGTGGGACACAAAGAGTTAAGAGCTATTGGTGTGCGGGCCAGAAGCAGGACCCAGGGTGGGGCGGATGGGCTGGGAGCAACCACTCATAGAAACAGCATTTCTTTTTGGAGTGATGAGATGTCCTGGACTGGATTGTGGTGACAGACACATAACTTTGAATATACTGACATACTGAAAACACACTCCTGGCATGGTGGCACACACCTGTC